CTCGGGAACCTCCCTCGCCTTGGTGTGCCTACCTCATCTTCCCTATCACACTCTCCGCTCCATCCCCTCCAGCCCAGCACCTCCCCTTCTCCCCATCACCTCAGCCGCCCTGTCCTGCATCACCCCCTCCTATTCTCTGCCCTCCCCTCCTGGTCACCTTCTTCCACGTGCCTTGGCAAGGGCCTCCCTTTCCCAACTCCTGGTTCCTGCTTGTGTGTGTGTGTGTGTGGGGGGGGGGAGGTGTCTCTCAACCCCCCACCAAAACGCACACATCTCTCCTCCCACTTATTTTTTACTCTCTCCCTCCATTTTGCTGCTCCCAGCTGTGTCCTTCGCCTCCCACCCTTCCCCCACCGCATGGGTCTGTGCCTCTTCCCCTTGCTGAACCAGGTTCCCTCTGTCTGTCGCCACTCCCTTCAGCTTTCCCCCTTATTTGTGGCCCCATCTCGCCCCCAGTCTCCATTTCTCTGTTCCTTTGACTTCCTATCCTCCCTCTGGGTCTCTTGGCATCTCCTTGCCTGTCTTGCTAAGTCTCCTCCCACCCCCACACCAACTTTGAGCCTCTCTGCATCTCCCCATCTCTGACCTCTGCGACTCTTCCCCTCTCTCAGGACCTCTTATCTCCTGTCTGTTGCTCTAGGATGTACATATCCTCTCCTGGGTTCCTCTGGGCTGTCTCCAGCAACCTTTACCTACTAAGTCCCCCTTCTTTCCAGAGCAGCCAACCCCAGCCTCTGCTTATAATTACAACTATGACCCAGTCCCCCTGGACCCTGGGCACCTGTCAGTCAGCCATGAGGCCATGGACTTGGAGGGGGAGGCGGAGGACAGGTGAGAGCTGAGTCTGTCCCCACCCTTCTCCACTAGCCAGGCAGAGAGTAGGAGTGACAAGGTGGGGGATCCCATCTCCCCCACCCACATTCATCCAACACACATCAGAGAACAGCCTGTCTGCGCAGGGTATGGCTAGACCCCAGGACAGACCTGTCCCTGGGACCCACTGGGCTCAGGACCACTGTTCAAGAAAATGTTCATGACACAGGAATGCTCTGTTCAGGGGGTTATTGAGATAGGTAGAGGGAGTCTTGCAGTGGGGAGAGATTGGACCCAACTCCGAATACAAGAAGAAGTGGGGATTTGTAGCCGGTGGGTGCAGGGGCGGGGCAGTGGATGGAAAATTACTAAAAGGAAACATCAGGGGTAAGGGGGACTCTGGCTAAACCAACCGGACAGGACTCTTGCTGAAGGCAGGCTGGGTGATCAGACATTATCCCCTGGGGGGTTGAAGGGGGTGGGGGAGGAACCTGATAGGTATAAGGGCGATCAAATATGGAAGGTGGGGATTCTGGCTAAACTGACTTAGTGGATTCTTGCAATGGGACAGTACGAAAGGAACACAGCAGTCCAAAACTGGAGACTTAGTTGAAAAAGAGCACAGAGGAGCCTGAGTGGAGTTTGGTCAGGGAGAGAGACTTTGTCACTCCAATGGAAGTGGTCAGAGAACCCTACCGGGTGAGGCTGGGAGGGGGCTTCTGAGCAGACTTCCTGGAGGAGGCCTATCTTTTGAGTGTAAGTTACAACAAACTCAATTCAAGAAGTTATAGCAACAGGTTGATCTATCAGCTCCGTTATGTGTCAGGTCCTTGGGGCTGGCTGCACCATTAGGCCTCAGGCTGTGTCCTCTGAGCCCTGACTTCCTTGAAGAGGGTCTTAGCCACCCCATACCAGCTGCTTCTAACCCCAATTCAGCAAACCCAGCCAGAATGCTTTTCCATCAGCACCCACCGAAGTCCCAGAGCTTCAGGGTACATCATTCCACATGTGTTTACTAGAATTATTGGTAAAGCTGGGTTAAGGCTACTGTTGGAGTATTTTTGTCTTGTCCCATCTGTTCCTCCCTTCATGCTCTCTTTTGGATTAATTGAGTATTTTTTTAGAATTTTTTAAAATTTAGCTAGTGTCCTTTTAGCCCAATTTTGTTAGTGGTAGCTCTGGGGACTATAGTATATATCCTTAAACTTTCTGGTCTACTGGGGATGAATATTGTACCACATTACCCCAAACGTACCACCCTTGAAGTCACGAGTCTCCGTTTTTGTCCTCACTGGTCCTTCCTGCTGCTCTGTCATCTGTACAGCTTTCAACTCTCCCAAGTGGTGCTGCCCCTTTGGCATCTGCCAGCTCTCTCCAGTGCCTTCGGAGGTGTCTGCTTTTGTTTTTGTTTTGGAGGGGGGATTTTTGTTAATGTTTTTATTGATTTTTAGAGAGAGAGGAAGGGAGAGGGAGAGAAACATCGATCAGTTGCCTCTTGCATCCACCCCAGTTAGGGTATGTGCCCTGACCGGGAATCAAACCTGCAACCTTTTGGTGTATGAACACCACTCCAACCAACCGAGCCACCCAGCCAGGGCCAGTCCACCATCTTAAACCTATGTCACCACTTTCACATGCGCTCATTTGCAATTGAGTCTGGCAAGTTTTCAGCAGGTGTAGATTAGTGTAACCAGGACCCATTCAAGACACAGAACAAACAGCTCGACAACTCAAGGATCCCTGTTGCTGCCGTTTTATAGCCCCCGCCCCCAACCGCTCATTGGTTCTCCCTCTGCAATTTTGTATTTCAGGAATGCTATGTAAATAGAACTGTAGAGTATGCAACCTTTGGAGATTGGATTTCTCACTCAGCAGAGTTCCCTGTTGATCCATCCTGTGGTTTTGTGTATCAATAGTTCTTCCTTTTTCACAGCTGAGTTGAGGTCCTCAGATAGTTTTCAGTTTGGTTAGTGGTTCCACGTAGGCTGCTCAGCTCTTTGTGGCCCAGTAGGGGTGGGCGGGGGCATGAGGGGCTCTGCTGTCTCAGGGGCACGGCAGCTGGGCTGAGCACGTGGGGGCAGGGCCAGGGAGAGCACAGGGCCCAAGACCTGGCAGCCACAGCGTCTGTCTCCTTCTTTCCCATCAGTCAGAGTGGCTTCTCTTCCTAGTGCTCAGAGCAGAACTGGCTCTGGCTGCTTCCTGTTCCTGTCTGCTCCACGAGAAGGAGGCCGCTGACTGCAGAGCTCCCTGATTGCCTGCTGGGCTGGTGGACCCTGCCCCAGGTGACCCCCGGCTCCGCATGAACCCTGTAAACCAAACCACAGAGACCTGACCAGCCCTGATGGATGACTGACCTCCTGGGGGACCAGCCCTTCCCTCCCATGGAGGGTGGAGGTGGCTGGAGGCCCATCGCCACCCCCCAACTCTTCAGCTGCAGCTGGAGCTCTAGGCACCCCAGTCTCCATTCTGGGGCTGAGTGTCCCCTTTCTGTGGCCCAGAGCAGCTCCTTCAGCCAGACATTCTGCCCTGGGAAGGAGGATGTTTTTGGAAAGAATTCATGGTCTATGGGCTATTTCCGAGAGGACACAACTCTGGACACCTCAAGGATCACATCATTCCCTCACCAGCAACTTTGAAATGAAACTGGCCACCTTTCTCCCGAATGCAAAGCCCTGGCCTCCCTTTGGGGAGCCTGGGCCACTGAGAGCCTCCCCAGATCCAGAGCTGTACCAGGACTGTCACAGTCCCCACACTCCGCCCAGTCTCGCCCCAGGCGTGCCTGAATGTCTAGTCTCGGGCAGTTGCACCTGGATCTTACTGCTGTCAAGGCCTCACGCTCTGAACCCCAGGTCCTCCAGCACCCCGCCTAGAGGACCATCCCCCTCCACACCCCAGGGGTTGCCCAGCTCTGCCACCCGCTGAACCGCATGCCCAGACCTGCTCTCCTGCCAGGACTCTCCAGCTACGGTCTGATTCCTTTTTGTGACCCTCTCACATCGGCCTGCCTCCCCACCCTCACTCGCATGTGGTATTTATTTCAGAACAACAGTCAGAGCTGCACAAAGACCCCTCCAGGACCTGAGGTGGCTGCCCCGACCCCTGAGGTCCCTGGGGTGCAGCGCCAGCAGTTTCCCGTGCCCCTGACCCCTGCCTGTCTCTGAGGGGAAGCTCCTTGGCCCAAACCCCATTTTTCAATCCCTGGAAGCTGCTGGTATAATAAAAGCTCGTTTCCACAGAGTCACTGCCAGGCTTTGGCCTTGGGGGGCCAGCCCCAAAGCTAGAGCCCCACTTCCCATCTGGCCCCAGGCCTCTGTTCCTTCATCAACAGCGCAACTTCCAGAGCAGGGTGGAGAGGAGGATGTCACACACGTGCACCCCAAGATAACCACATTCCCGTGCATTTGTAAGAAATCACACCCAGATTCTTCCAATGGTAACATCTTAGAAAGTAATACACCATCACACCAGGCTACCGACGTCGCAACACTCTGCTGATCTTACCCCTCCCCAGGAGCGTGTGTGTCCCTGGGCTGCCCCTCGCCAGCTCAGTCTTCCCCAGACCAGAGACAGGGCCAGTGTGAATCCAGGAATGACCCACTCCCTCCGCCTTAGGAGGCTTGCTGACTGCACAGTCGATGCCCCAGCGGCTCTTGACAACACGGAGTGGAGGGGTGGCAGCTGCCTTTCCACACGGGGTCCCGTCCCACTCGGTTCAGAACAGGCTGTAAACAGCTGGGGGTGGGGTCAGAGACTGAATCCCCTGCCAGGCACACAGCATTCCCCCTTTAGTTTCCTTCCCCCTGGTCCTGGAGGGGGGGGAGTTAACATCAAATGAGAAGAGAAATCAGAGGTCAGGTAAACAGGAAGAGATGACATCTTGCAGTCAGGGGACAGAGGGGACTGAGCCCAATGGCTCCCACGGGGTTTTAGGGAGCAGAGTGGGGTTTCCACAGTGATTACCCAAACCCTGGGACCAGGAGCTGAACTTCTGAGAACAAGAACCGCTAAGCAGGTTCCCGCTGCCTGGGCCACCAGGGGATGGGAGGGCCTGAGCCGCCTCCTGGGCAGGGTTCTCCAGCAGGTCCAGGAACATCAGCCTTGTCTCATCCCCACCTTGGCCTGGGAATCTATGTTTAACCCCTGTCTTGGTTTCCTGGGGCTGCTGTAACCAAGTACCACAAGCCAGGTGACTTAAAACAACAAATTTATTGTCTCAATTCTGGAAGCCAGAAGTCTAATATCAGGGTATCAGCAAGGTTGGGTCCCCTGGAGGACCTGGTGGGGAGTCCCTCCCAGGCCGCTGTCCAGGCTCCTGGCGGCCGCCAGCAGTCCTTGGTGTTCTTAGCTCGTGGCCAAGATCGCTAACTCCATGGTCACGTGGCCTTCTTCCCTGTGTTTCTGCCTTCTTATAAGGACATTAGTCATATAAACTTTAGGGCTGACCCTACCCCTGTGTGACCTCATCTTCACTAATTACATCCATTTCCAAACGAAGACCCTATTTCCAGACAAGCTCATTAGAGGTTCCTGGTGGACATGAATTTAGGGGGAGAACCTATTCAATCCAGTACAACCCCTTTTTGTTGCCTGTCTCCTGAGGGGCTGTCACACAAGTGATGAGAGCTTGGTGCCCGTTCCTGGGCTGCCCTGCTCCCTGGAGGCTGTGGTGGAACTCAGCACCCAGCGCAGCATCACCTCCCGCACTTTGTCCATGAATTCGGTCGACACATAGTAGTAGACAAAGGGGTCCACGCAGCTGTTGAGGGTGCTGAGTGCCAGGCTGGGCACGTAGGCAGCATACAGGTTCCCCCAGGCCTCCGGGCCTGGATCCGAGTAGTGCAGCAGCAGCAGCACGTTGCTGGGGGTGAAGAAGACCAGGGCCGAGGCCAGCACCAGCGCAGTCAACCTCAGCGCGTGGCTGTAACGCTGGCCCCCAGAGGCCAGTGAACACAGGGCGGCCCCATAGCAGAGGATCATGGCCAGCAGGGGCAGGAGGCAGCCGAACACAGCCAGGCAGATGAAGGTGGGTCGCCAGTAGGAGCCCTGGATACCCATGGGCAGTACGTCATGGCAGAGCACATGGTCTGAGTGTGACAGCCGGAAGGTCTGCTGCTGCAGCCCCAGGGGCAGTGCCAGGGTAGCTGCCACCAGCCAGGCCACGGTGCAAAGCCCCATGGCCAGGTGCGGGCCTCGCAGGGCGAGGGCCCGCAGTGGGTGTACCACAGCCAGGTAGCGGTCCAGGCTGATGGCAGCCAGCAGTAGCACGGAGCAGTACATGTGGCCATAGAGTGCGGCTGTGTCTAGGCGACAGGCGACCTCACCAAAGGGCCAGCGCTGGCCCCGAAGATGGTAGACGATGCGGGGTGGCAAGGCCAGAGCTAGCAGCAGGTCAGCAGCTGCCAGGTTCATGAGCAGCACCGTGGATGGCAGCCGAGGCACTCGCGTGGCCAGTACCCATAGTGCCAGGCCGTTGGCGGGCAGCCCCACCACTAGGACCAGCCCATAGAGAGCGGGCACCAGCCTTGTGGGCACCCAGCCCAGCAGCAGTGCCCGAGAGTTGTCCCAAAGCTCCAGAGTGTTGCTGTTGTTGGCACAGAGCCAGCCTGGGAAGCTGCGTGGGCCCTGTGGTGGGCAAAGTGTCGCCCCCCGGGGCATGGTCCAAGATCCCAGGGGACCATCTGGAGGAGGAAAGGGAAGGAGGCACTGAGAACCCAGGCGTCATCCCCGCCCTTCGACCAGTCCCTCCTGCTGGATGGTTCCCCCAACCCAGGGCTGCAGTCCAGGCCCCAGCTCTCAGGAGTCCCCAGGTTGGTGGGACAGAGTTAGACATAGAAACTGCCACCCTGTGGGCTCAGAGCTGGCCTGGAGGTCCCCCAGTCCCCTGTGCCCTCCTGCCCATTTATGATGCCCCCCAGCCCCAAGGTAGCACCTGGAGTCACTTACCATCTCCTCCGCTGGTGCTTCCGCCTTCATCGTAGACACTGGGGGTCTGGGTGCTACCCTCAAGGCTGAGTCCCAGTGCCAGGGGCCACAGCAGCAGGAGCGCCCACATGCTATCGGGGCTAGGCACCGCTGCTCTGGGCTTCAGCCAACTGGCTTTGGGCTTTCTATCTGCTGGACCTGCACCCCCAGCTTCCTGAGTGCAGACAGAGGAGCAGACAGGGCCCAGTGAGATAAACCAGCCCCTGCCTCCAGCCAGCCCATGGGAGGCCCACAGATGACCGAAGGCGGCCTGGTGACTGGGGCCACTCTGTCTGGCAGAGGTGCTTCACAGAGTCCAAGTGCTGGGCCAGTAAGATGGGGGAGGAAGTCCCTGCCTGCAGCACCCCCACCAGCCCCTGTCTAGCCCAGGAAGGTCTGTGCGCCAAGTGGTCCCTTCCTGCTGACCCGTCACAGCTCCGGTTCTCATAGCAGCCCAGTCCTCCAGGACACCTCCCCCATCAGGAGCTCTTGGCCCTTCCTGGAGCACTCCTATCTTTTGTCTCATTCTGGCAGGCAAGACTAGAGTCCTGCTTTCCAGGTCAGAGGTCAAAGCAGGTGAACCCCCCCCAGCACACACATGCACTTACCCAAGCTCCCGGGTCCTCTGTGAGGGCTGCCTCCTCGCTTCCTCACCTGTGCCCCAGCCGACCCCTGGGTGGGTGAAAAGTGAGGTGCTGAGAGGGGAAGGCACCTTGTGAGTTGGGTCTCCTGGGGATAGCTGAGGAAGTACGAGCCTTAGCCAGCGCCTCCGACACTGCCCACCCGCTGCCCGAGTGTCTGAGGGGCGCCTGGTACAGCCTCCTCTGAGAGGTTTCTGGCCTCGGTTCTTAAAGCACCTTCTGCTCTTGCCTTGGCCCCACCTCAGCCTGGGGACCCAGGTGTGATCGGAGAGATGGTCACATCCATGTCTGAGCCCAAGGGAGGCAGCCAGGCCAGCCCAGGTCAGAAGGTCACCTGAACCACCTGCCAGGGGCCCTCCTTCCTCTGGCCCCTCCACATTCCTACATTCTGATGGGGGTCCACTGTGCAGATGAAGAAACTGAGGCTCAGAGGGGAGGGTACTCTTCTCTCCAGCATACAACCTCCCATTCCCCTCCAGGGCATAGAGAAACTTCCAGTAGTCCTGCCCCAGAGAGCCTCGCTCTGGGGGTCTGGCCCCTGTGTGGTCAGTGCTGGGTCATGGTGGGAGGGGCGGCCTGTGTCTGGGAGCAGGGGGACTTCAGGGGGTGGTGGGGGGTCAAGGAAGAAGAAATGAACTAGGATTGGAAGAGGGGGTCAGATGTGGTGTGTCTTGGCACAGCAAGCCCTAATCTAGTCACACTCAGGGACACAGGGAGCAGCAGGAAGTGACCGAGCAGTTTGGACAGTGTGGCCAGAGGCTGAGATGCTGAGGCCCTTTTTTCCCCAACCCTGGGGTGAGCGGACTGAGGCTTAGAGCATGCCCACTCGGGACAGGGTCTCCGCCCGGAGCCTGCCTCCCATTTCTGAGCAGTTTCCACCAGTGACAAATTCAGCCCATACCTACACACAACCGATGATGCCCTCAGCACAGGAAAACTGGGATAGGGACCCCCTGCCACCCTCCAGGAAACTGTGCAGGGGAAGCTGGGGGATGGTGACATGGGCCCGGGGAAGGCTGGAGCCCCCAGGAGGGCGGTCTGACTCAGGAGTTCCGTGTCTGGAAACTTAGGACAGACACGCACATGCAGGAAGGCATCTGTACAGGGGATATTACTGGCACATTGTCATGCAGCTGTCACGCCATCCTCTCCAGAACTTTCTCATCTTCCCAGACAGAAACCCATCAAACACTGACTCCCATACCCATCCCAGCCTCTGGCAGGGACCCCTCTGCCCATGTGCACCCCCGGACATATGCTGCCCCTGGCAGTGCCCACCTCCCCCTACAGAGTGCCAGGGGTAGCAGAGAACTTGGAGAAGGAGGCAACGCAGGGCAGGGGGTGCCCATCACAGCTCCACCATGCCATGGAGACGACCGTGCCAGCAGAACGGAAGGACCCCGGACTGGGCAGGCAGAGGTGCAGGCTGCTGTCCTGTCCCAGCTGGGTGACAAGCTGTGAAGAGATACCTCCCCTGAAGACTCTGGGCGAGAGACTTGGGCCCCTACTTTTCTCTGTGTGCTTCTTTGTACTACTGGAGTTTTCTGTCATGTGTCACTTTCCATAAAAGCTTATGTTTTTAAAAAAGCACAAAGGTAGTTTCAAAAAGGAAGGACATTCTGACACATGCTACATGGATGAACCTTGAGGACATTATGCTGAGTGAAATAAGCCAGACACAGAAAGGTCAAATACTGTGTGATTCCATTTATATGAGGTTGCGCAGAGTCGTCAGATCCAGAGAGACAGGAGGCAGGTGGTGGGTGCCAGGGGCTGGGATGGGTATGGGAGTCAGTGTTTGATGGGTTTCTGTCCGGGAAGATGAGAAAGTTCTGGAGATGGATGGCGTGATAGCTGCGTGACAATGGGAATGTCCTTACTGCCACTGACCTGTGCATTTAAAATGGTTACTGTGGTAAATTTTATGGGTATTTTACCACAATTTAAAACTTCTTAAATGATGGAAAAAATGGCAAACAGGCCCAACGCAGTCGCTAGTCCTGGATTTTTTACCTTCCAGCTCTGCCAGGAACCCTGGAAGCCGATTCTCCCCACCGCCCCTCCCTCACCTCGCTGCCTGCAGAGGAAGAGGCAGGTCTGCACATCCTTCCAGAGCAAGCTGCTCGGGGTGGTCGTCTTTGTGGAAGTTGTTTTCTTTATGTTGTATTTTGAAGCCAGATGGGCACTCATGTGTGTCTACACCTGCCCACATCCGGGGCTGGGCCTTGGCCTGTGAGCAGGGACATTAACCCCCTGGAGCGGCCCGAGAAGAGGGGATTGTGACCTATGTTGCTGGGCACCAGGGTTTGAAGTCTGGCCTTCCCAACCTCAGATGCCCTGGGCATCCTTCCCAGGACCCTGCATCGTCATCTGCTCAACTGTACCATGGCCTGGAGCTCCCACACTCAGGGCCATAGTGCTGGAGAATCTAAAGTGGGGTGTAGTTTGGATTCCTCAGGCCACTGCTCATGGAGACCTCATCCCACACCCCAGTCCCTGCAGGCTCCTACCAGGCAGTTCCCATCCCGGCCTGTCCTACCCCAACCAGGGGCCTCCTGACACTAACTCTAGGTAAACTTGCTTTTTAGAACAATCAGCCTCATTCTCAGCCAGGGCATCAGGTGTAAAGTGCTAGTTGTACCTCACAAACAGCCAGCAAGACAAACACCCCTGTAATGACAGAGTTCATTGGGTCCCACGTGAACCCCTATCACCTCCCAGGCATCACACACGGCTCTCTCTACCACACTGGGGAGGGGAGGGCGGCTCTGGTTCCACACTTGAAGGGGATCCAGGGGAGGTCCAGGGGAGGCCGAGGGTAGTGAGGAGAGAGGGCTGCCGTATGGATTTGGGCTGACCTTTCACGGTGGCCTAAGCCACTGCCAGGAACACAGTGGACTGGAACAATAGGCCCTTATGATCTGGTGTTTCCTGGGTGAGTCCAGGCAGCAGGCTGGTCCTCTGCTCAGAGCCTCACCAGACTGTAGTCCCCGGGCTCGGTCCTCAACCCAACACAGAGCCGCCGTCTTCCAGGCCAGCAGGAGACCCTTGCGCTAATGTCCAGGAATCTCATCCCAGTCACAGGCCACTTGAGGACAAGGACTGGGGGTGTCGATGGGGGTGTGAATCCTAGGGCCATCTCAGAGTTCTGCCCACTACAATGTGACCCGCTCCAGTCTGCTCTCATAGGACCTGGTACTGCAGCACCAGTTTATATGCCGAGGCCTCTCCACCCAGCACTTCAGACTGAGGAAGTCCAGCTGTGGGCACAGAGGGGCCCTGGGCACCCCTGACTCGGGCTCCAGACCAGGAGGCATCTAAGATAGTTCAAGCCTCCTTCTCCAAGTTCCCTGCTACCCCTGGCACTCTGTAGGGGGAGGTGGGCACTGTCAGGGGCAGCACACGTCCAGGGGGTGGGATGCACATGGCAGAGGGGTCCCTGGGAGGCAGCAACAGCCACTCTGGGAGGTCAGGGCAACTCATGGGAGAGGACTGGCCAGGACAGTAGCAAATGAGCTCAGGAACCTGACACGTGAGGCCTGGTGGTGGACAATGGGCAGGGGAGGGGCAGAAGGGCGCAGCCAGTCCCTTCGTGGAAGCACAAGAGGTGCCAGCTAGAAGGCCCCTGAGCAGAGGGGTGGATCTCCAGTTCCTTGGGGGGGGGGGGGGTGGGAGCAGGTCAGGTGGAAGGGGGTCCTAGAGATGTTCAGAGGACACAGTAATGGGAAAGAAACAGGAGGTGGAAAGGGGTGAACCTCCTGACCTGGCATCAGGAGCACAAAGGCAAACTCAAAGACCAGGTCCTGAAATGGGGTGTTGCAAACACAGCACTAGAAGGAAACACTGCATTTCCACTGAATATGAACAATAAATTGGGAATGAATGTTCTAGAAATGCTCTGGTAAGACAATGGAGCACTACCCCATGGGACACCTCACTGCAGGGTCTGGGAACTGCTGGGTGCACAGGCACAGACACTCGCTGTGGGTCCCGCCGCCTGTCGCTGGGCAGGAGAAACTGCCCTGGGATTTGCTCACAGGAAGTCATGGGTGGAATCTCACAGCTTCAGCTCAATATTTAACTTTTAACTTTAATGTGCAAATAAATAGAAAAGGAAACTACATTCAAAACAGCTGCAAAGGAAGTCCAAGCCCCAGAAGAGAAATTCTTCAAAAATAAAAGAGCTCCTTAGAAGCATGCAGGGTAGGGGTTCAGGGGTTTGGCAAACACCCCAGGCCCCCACTGAGGCACAGAGGGCTGCCTGAAGGGGCTGGTTCAGGAACTCTGATAAGTTCCCTTCTTACAAAACAAGGATTCAAAGTGCCTGGGTTACACTTGAGAAAACAGGGGAAGGTGATGGCCTCGGCCCGAGAGTTAAAGGCTCCGCAAACCTTGAGTTCCACAGGTAACTTCTATAAACAAGTCTCCACGGGTGTTTGGCACAGCTCAGCTGCAGGAGGGCGAGGGCTGTGGATGGCAGAGGCTGCACCAGGCTTGTTTCAGGCCCACCTGTCAGCGGACCCCACTCTCAGCATGATGTTGCGAGGGGCCCAGCCAGGGCTTCTTGCGGTGCAGTAAGTTTAAAGAGCTGGTCCCCAGCCTGAATTGCTTGGCGTTTCTAGCAGAAAGCCTTGGATGCCTCTGTGGAACAGTCGCCTCAGCCCCTCACACACATGCCCTCCCCAGGGGGCAACCGCAGGAACAGTGGTGTCCAGGTGGGTAGGAAGAGGGCTCTCACTCCCCAAGAAACCATGGGACTTAGTTGTTGAAAAAGATAACCACCACTGAGAGTGTAAAGGAATAAATATGTGTGTGCATCTATGTATTTCTAGAATATCCATCTTAGGTATACAATCCTGCCACAGGGCCCTCCCAACATGGGCCACTCCAACTTTGAGGGAGTGCCGGGCTGAGCCCTGTCCCTCACAGACCCAGAGTCCGGCTGCTGGATCAACACAGGGTTTGGCGTATTTTTCCAGAGTGGGGCCTTCCAGGCCATTCTGGTGCCCCCTGCCCATCCACACCTAACAGTTTGGCTGAAAGGGCTCTTACTACTTATAAAATGACAAGGATCCAAGTACCAACCGGGTCAAGTGGATGTCCACACTGTCAGATACAGGTGCTGCCCAGCTTGAGAAATGTTGCTGGAAACACTTAAAACCACTCGGGAAGGACATACTTTTCAAGCAAGTCCCTGGCCCAACGCTTATGCTGGGGGCTCTGGAATGCTGACCCCTCCCAAACGTGTGCCCTCACACGGCTTGTCACTGCCTCCTCCAGATGCCCTGTGCACAAAGTGACCAGTGCGGCCCCACCCAGAGATTTGGCACGTGATGTAAGAAGTGCCTGGCAGGTGTGTGAACATAACTGCTGTTCCTCAGGCAGTGTGAGGATCCTCTCTTTTCTGTTGGGGACTGAGCCCCGAGTTCAAGTGCAGGGGGTTCAGGTTTGGCACAGGAGTGGCTCAAAGGAAGCCGGGGAGCTGAGAGTGATGGCAGCGTGGGGCCGCAATCTGACACAATCCTCTCTGGAGCGGGCAGCCTGTAGCAGCAAGGCTAGGGGAAGTGCTCCTTCCCTCAGGTGTTCATGAAAAGGCCCTTGACTGCCACCTAGGCCGAGGAAGCAACCACACCAAACTGCGCTGTGATGGCTGCTCAGGTGCATCAGGGGGAGGCAGGGCGGCGGCTGTACTGCACGCGGTAGCGGGTCACAGGCAGGCCGTGCACATGGGCCGTCTCACAGAGTGTCTTGCAGGGCACCATGTCCTCATCCTCTTCACCCATCAGCCAGTCTTGCACCAGGCTGGCTGCCTCCACGGTCACGTTGTCCTCCAACCAGCGGCCATGCCACTCCTCAAAGTGCTGGTGGTGCCGCAGCAGGACCAGGGGCTGTACCTGCAGGGGATGGGTGAGATGGAGAGTCAAGAGACAGGGCACACCCAGCTGGCTGTGGGTTGGGCCCGGATCCCCAAGATGGGAGCCCAGGCACCCCTAGATGGCCATGGACTAGATCTCAGGGTCCCAGGCACCCCCAGCTGGCCATGCGGTAGACCCAGGGTCTCAGGACAGGGCGGGAGGGGCACCTGCTTGGCCCGGCAGAGAGTCCCCCGGCGGTACATGTAGTCCTCGGAGTTCACAATGAACATCATCTTGTGGGAGCTGAGCTTGAAGCGGCAGTCCACGTTGCAGGCGCTCTCCACTCCCACCAGCCGCTTCCAGGAGCTCTTGGCCTCACCACGCAGGGCCCGCACCTGCTCACATTGCCACCTGCGGAATTTCTTGAGGTTCCTGGAGGTCAGAGGAGGATTTGCAGACCAGAAAATCCTTGGCTGGATTTCCCAGTGGTGAGGGAGATGCAAACTAGGCAAAACACTACCACCCAAACACTTCAATCCAGTGAAAATCAACCCAGTCACACACCAGGACTGGCAACCCTGGGAGGGGTCGCCTGGCCTGCCTTGCGGGCTCCTCTCACTTGCTTCTGTCCCACATCCCTCCACCAGGGGAGCCCCCTCATCCAGGATCCCCTCTACTCTACCAGATCCAGTCCCATTTCCCTCCTATCAGAGGGCCTGAGACCCCACTCAAATCTAAACATCCACCAATAGTCCCCACTGATCTTAAGGTCCCCTGTCTCAACTTGGCTTGAGATCTGGCCCTGCCTGGCCCCAGGTCCAGGGTCTGATGGGACTACCTCTGGCCTGATGGCTGCCATTTCCAGTAGCTTCTCCTTCCTCCCAGTCCTTCTGCTCCCGCAGGCAAGGCAGCCCCCTTTAAGTTCCCTGTCCTGGGATTACTGCTCTGCTCACCACAGACCTCAGGAGGGCAGGGCCACACCTCGAACACATCAGACACCCAATAAGTGTTCCCAGACAAAGGAAACTACCATTCAGCCTCAATTAAAGACACAGGGTCTCCTTGCGGCTCCTCTCACCTCTGCAGGAACACGGGCTTCAGGAGGAAGCCCTCAGTGGGTGAGCTGGACGTACCCTCAGGCCCCACATACTGCTCCACGTACCGAGCCAGGTGCTGGGGGACAGAGGGAGACATGGCTGTGACTCCCCGTATAATAGACCTCAGCCAGGACCCTGAGCTCAGGGCTCCCGGGGATGTTGTCCTCGCCCTACCCAGACCTTTAGGAGGATGGTAGCTGCTGAAGACCCTGATATATGATGAAAACCACTGGACTGCAGCTAGAGAAGGACATGCACACCGGGTACAATTAGACAACTTACGGCATTTCATAAGTGGAGAAACCCCTGCTGTGCAACAACCTATTCATTGTGTGGTTAGGTTCAAACAGGGAACAGGAACCCCCTTCTGGAGGAGAGTGGGGTGCCCAGGAATGGACATCAGGATACGAACAGCAGCAGAAAGAGGGAAATACCAGGTCACAGGTGGGAGTGAACAAAGATGGGGCTGACAGGGGCCACCCAGGTCTGGGGGCACTTAGCTGGTAGTGTCCAATGACCCTGCATTCGCTCATCACCCTGTTAACGTCAGAGGTTCCTCCAGACATGAGCTTAACCAAACCACATTTCCTGGAAACTTCCTGAAGATGCAGGGTGTGCAGGTCTCCACCCTCACTGATCTTGGAAAGTTTCCTTAGTAGGTAAGGAGGGATGCTGGGAGGGCGCCCCTGTGGCTGTGGCGAGTGTCGGGTGGCCCTGCTCTGCAAAGGAAGCCCTGTTCCCAGTGGTGTGAGGGCACCAGGTGCCACTGCAGCTTCCCACTTCTCCAGACAAAGCTCCTGAACAGACATGATGCTCCAGAGCTCCTGGTCCACGAATACTGGCTGTATGACTCAAGGTCAAAAAGGCAGCAATAGCCCTGGCCAGTTTGGCTTTGCAGTTATGGCGTCGGTCCATGGACCAAAAAGTCTCAGGTTCGATTCTGGTCACGTACCTCAGTTGCAATTTGGTCCCCGACCCTGACCAGGGTCATGCGGGAGGCAGCCAACTGATGTGTCTCTCTTGCATTGATGTTTCTCTCTCTCTCTCAACCTCCCACTCTGTCTGAAGATAAATGGAAGAATATCCTCAGGTAAGGATTAAAAAAAAAAAAATTAAAATGGCAGCAACAGAAATCATGTATTTTTTTTTTATGTCTGTACTTATTTGGTTACACACTGCTTGATTCCAGAAAGGGCTCTGACACAGCTAAATGTCAGAACAATTGCCATGATTTGTCTGACCATGAGGAATTTCTGGAATGTGGAACTTTTGGTGATAAAATCGGGAATGTCCTAAGTAAATTGGCACAAGCTGTACACTATTATGGGTTGAATTGTGCTCCCAAAAAAGTAATGTTTAAGTCCTAACCCCTGGTACCTGTTAATGTAACCTCATTTGGAAATAGTCTTTGAAGATGTATTTAAGTTAAGATGAAATCACACTAGAGTAAGGTGGGCCCTAAATCCAACGACTGATGTCCTTATAAGAACAGAAAAAAAGACACAGGATAAAACATCTAGTCCAGTGGAGTATGTGACTCAGAGCGTGGGCCAGGTGGCTATCCTCCTGGGATTAAGGCTGGGGACCTGGAGCCCTTGCTTTGTGCACAGAAGTGCAGAGGTCACAGCTCAGGGTGAGTGACCACGCCAGCCACAGGCTCAACTGGGATGTCTCAGTGTCTACAGCAGGTGGGAGTGAGGAGCCAGGGTTTGGGGGAGGGTAGCCTGGCCTTCCTGGCCTGGGACATACCCTGGGCTCCTGAGGGCTTGTCTGCACTCTGACCCCTGCTTGGGCTTCCATATCAAGAGCATGTGGCCTGTGCTTGTGCATTCGGCTTCCTGGGGTGGGAGCTCCACATTGCTGACCCATGCTCCCTGGCCCCACAGTGTGCACAAGACACAGAACTCAAGGTCGTGATCCTCACCTGGACCTCCACAGGGTCCTCAGACTGGGCTTCCTCGGTGTCCAGAAGCTCAATGGTCATAATCACCTGCCCTTTGCGCTGAAGGAACATCACCTGGGGAAGGTAGGGGACAGAGCCTGAAGCCAAGGGCACAGTCCAAGCAGATACAGGAGGAGGTCAAAAGGTTATCAAATGACACACCTTCACCAGCCTCTGGGCCTAGATCCTTCCTCCAGGGATCATGTGCTGGGCACCCACCTCATGGGCCCTGTGGTGCCCTCTGAGGCCAGGGGCAGCATCCAGAGGCCCAGTCAAGGAAGTGCACGTTATTGGACCGGCTGCAACAGTCATGGTTCAGTCCATCCTGCCACCCAAGCCCAAGCAGAGTGGCCAGCCCCCTCCTGTTTTGGGCATTCCCCTCACATCGCCAGCCTCCACGGGGCTGAGCAAGGCTAGCCTCTCACCTTGAAGCAGTTCTCGTCAGCCATGCACCGCTCAGCCTTCCACTGGTAGCTGGTCTCCCTGGCGGCTCGGACACAGCGGGAGGACAGGTTCCCACCGGCGGCGCCCCGCTTCTTCTCGTTCAGGTAAAGCTCCACCACCTTCAGACAGATGTCATCACTCACGAGGTGGTGCAGCTGGTGGGGAGGAGGGAGAGCTGGTGGGTGCCTGGGGCATGTGCCCCTCAGGAGGGTGAGCAACTGCTGAGCACACCTGCTGGAGTCCCTGCTTCACCCAAAGAAGACATGGTGGAGTCCAAGATACGGGGATGAAGGCCAGGATCAGATGGGCCACGCAGAATGAGCACCTCAGCACAGGGTGCAGAGCAGATCAGAGCAGGGAAAATGAGCCAAAATCAGACTACAGCAGACAAAAGCACACCAGTCCAGAGCACACCAGTTGAAACTAGACCAGACCAGCAAACACTGCTTAGGTTTGAGAAAAGTACAGAGTAAATTCAAAAGAAAATGTTCCAAAATGGGGGTGGTAATTATCTGAAACTGGGGTGGAGGAAGGTTATTTTCCCTAAATTTTTACCTATAAACACAATAAATCCCTTTAATTCCTACAAACATATAAAACCTAAGGTTTTAGAAGAAATGAGTAACAGACAGAGCTGAGGTGCAGGATCAGATGGTGTGAGTCAGCCCTGCCACCAGTAGCTGTAGCAGGACAGGCTACTAGACTCAGGGCCCTGGGTTCGTCCCCGAGTGTTGCATCGTTGAATACAGTAACACGTGGATCGCATACGGTGCCTGGCCCATGGCAGTTTCCCCAAAGCGGTGGCTGCTGTTACTGAAAACAAGAAATGCTAATAGTAAAAAAAAACAGGCAAAGGGTGGGAATATGATGCTTCCAAGATAGGTTACAGACATCGGCATGGAGGAGCCCTGTGCGCATCTGGCCCAGGGCATTTCCAGTGGGGTATGATGGAGCCACAGCTGTCCCCAGAGTTGTAGTCCATTGGGGGCAGACTCAACCCCCAGCCCTGGGGTGTAGTGCTCTGCCCCGTGGTGTCGCCTGAGTCGTTGCCTCCTGGAGCTGTGTATATGCTTCCCTATCAGTGGACATCTAAATGGCCACAGAGGAATGATAAAGTACCAACCTCATGAGCTATGAGGGTAATGCAATATAAACCATAATGAGATCTCCTTGACCTCTCGGCCTAGGAGAGATGAGAGGCCACCAATCCCCAGCTCTGGGCAGGGCAGAGTACCCACTGGGAAACCAGAAGCTTCTACCACGACTGGCGGGCTTGCCTATGTCCCACCTGGGGAGTGGAGGAAACTCACAGATAGCTACCAGACGCACAGCACTGCTCCAAGGGCCCAAATGGGAGCTTGTTACCTGGAACAGGCCAGAATGAAGGAGCCATGGGCATCTCAACAATAGGGAAATGTCGCAGAATCACACTGCTTGACACAGCCAGACAGGTGGTATACTTCCATTTACATGCAGTTCAAGACCAGGGACTCTATCTCAGCATCAAAAATCATGGTGAGTGGCTGGGGCGGGTTCTGGATGGAGGTATATATATATGAGGACCCACCGAGCCACACTCTTAGAATTTAGGCACTTTTCTGTATGTTCTACTTCAATAAGTAGTTTTTCAAACCTAGAAGGAAATGGCTTTTCTAGAATGTTATCAATGACTGTGTCTGGGTGGGAAAGTAATAACACTATTCTTTTCCTGGATTCTCTTTCACTTTAAGTGAATAGCCTTAGCTGATAATCAGGAAACAAAAGTCAAGCTGACACACCACCAGCGGGACACATGTCCCAGGACCATACCCGACCTGTCTGGGGCTTTGTTGTTTATATTTATGTGACTAGTTTCCTCTCCTTGACATTTGGCTGTGGGCAGTGTTTTGCTACTATAAATGGTACTGACTGCTGAGGAATAGTCACTGATATCCACCCCCCACCCCCCAGAAGAGGGCTAAGATTCTTTACACATTGCCAAATTACCCTCACAAAAGGTTTGTCAGCAAGGACTCAAATCCATGTTCACAGCAGCATTACTCACAATGGCCAAAAGGTGGCAGCAACTCAGGTGTCCATCCATGGAAGAATGGATGAACACAATGTGGTCCATCCATACAATGGAATATTACTCAGCCGTAAAGAGGAATGAAGCACTGACATAACGTGGATGAACCTTGAAAATGTTATGCTGAGTGAGAGAAGTCAGACAGAAAAGACCACATGTTGTATGATTCCATGTATATGGAATGTGCAAAACAGGTAAACCACAGACAAAAAGTAGATCAGTGGTTGTCAGGGGCTGGGGGAGGGGAATGGAGAGTGACTGCTAATGGGGACAGGATCTCTTTCTGGAGTGATAGAAATGTTCTAGAACTAGATAGAGATAATGGTTGTATAATACTAAACACCACTGAATTATTCACTTTACAATGGTTAACATAATGGTTATGTTATGTGAATTCTACTTTGATTAAAAAAAAAGAGAGAGAAAAGATGCTGACATGAGGCCAATCACAAAGCATGAGTGATGGAAGGGCTGGTTTTCAAAGCTGGGAACTTGGCAGGGAGTCTTGGGGAGGTATTGTTGCCCCACGTGTCTGGCCTCCTGACATCCTGCTGGCTGCCCATCCCGCGCCTGCTCACCTGGCGTGCGATGCTCTGCACCAGCTTGTCCATGGTGAAGCCAACATAGGCATGGATGGTGAACATCTCACGCAGAGTGTCCTCATACTGCGTGGGGTCGATGCTGCCATCCAGCAGGCTGCGCACCATATCCAGGAAGGCCGGGTAGTACTCCTCCAGCTCCACCTCACCTGAGGGCGGGTGGAGACCAGGTCACCCAGGGCTATGCCCACAAGGCCCCCACCGGGGTAAATCAGGAATCTCCATAGAACAGAGCAGCTCGCGTCCCCCACCTCCCACCATGGGCTTCCTAATGTTGGCCCATGACTCCAGGATGGAGGCTTGTCTGGGCAGTAGTTCCACGTGTCCCAGCTTGGGGAGAAAGCACCAGAGCTTTGCGCCTGGGGAGGCCAAGCAAGAAGCGGTATGGCTTTGGCCTGGCAATGCCAGTTTCCCGGCCCAACTACTACAGCCAGAAGTGGGGCTACTGCTCGGGGAGACTGGGGAAGGTTGTTCAAGACTCCACTATTTTTGTGACTCCTCATTTGCAATTTCTCATCTGAGCAAATGTAATTATTTCAAAATAAAAAGTCAGAAAAAAACTCAAGGGGACATTTCTGATCATAATGTCCCTGTTTGGGCCACTGCCCAGCTCCCAGCACCCGCACATCATCTGTGGGCTCTGACAGTGTCTGGGGAACTCACTAGGCTGCTTCAGCCGCAGCTCCATGGCGGGGTCATTGCCCTTTTCCCGACGGCCCTCGCAGAGCAGCTTCTCCCTCTCCTTCTCGGTCCGATACTCCAGGAGCTGCTTCTGAGCCTGGCGGTAGATCTTCAGGAGCCGGGAGCACAGGGTCTGGTGGAGACGCAGGAAAAAGTACCAGTTGTTGTTGGCAAAGAAGAGGCTGTAGACATCATCCATGGGCTTGTGTGGTGGTGGGGGTGGCGGTGGCGGTGGCAGCAGTGGTGATGGCAGCTGTTGCTCAGGAGCGGAACCCTCGCCGGAGGCCCCCTTCTCTACTGGGGGGCTGCTCTGTGGCCCAGGTGCTGGCTTCTTCCGGTCACCAGGGTCCACACTCTGCCCCTGGGGGCTCCCCCGGCTCTCATCAGCAGAGTCCTCAGATGCCCCTAGGTCCAATTGCTGGGAGAAGAAGAGACTGGGCACAAACTGGTGCACCAGCTGGTGGATGGTGCCCTGGTCCTCCTTCTGGATGGCTGGCTGCCGTTTCACGTAGTAGCTGATGAGTGCGGCCGCATCTTCCAGGATCTGCTTGTCCTCATACACGAAGATAAGGTGTGGCTCACTGGTGGGGGCGCTGCGGCCCTCTGAGTGCTGCTCCTGGTGCTGGGGACAGGGTAAATGTCAGGCAGGATGCAACTGCTAGGAGAACCCAAGACATGGACCCAGGGCCAAGAGGCTTTAATGGTGTCACACTGCCCAGTGACAGGACCAGAACAGGGACAACCTCCCTCCTACCACCAATGCCTGCAGTAGTGCCTAGAGGCCAGGGGACATGAGGAAGCAGTGCCTAGGTCATCAAATTCCAGCTGCCCTGAGCTGCCCAGTCCAAACTCTCCATGGGGATGTGGAAGGCTCAGGGTGGATCCTGGACCTTTCTGCCCACCATCATTCATTCATGAATGCTCAGCTAGACTCTGAAGACCTGGGACTGCTTACATGTTAACCCTCTCCTTCCTCAGCCCTTTACACCCGTTTCTGTTCCCCTCCCAACCACCACCAGCCCTTTCAGTCCTCCTACCACCTTGCACAGGATTCCCATTGGCCTGATCCCATTCACCTGCTCACTCCAACCATTCTCCTCACCGAGTCTAGAGCAATTTGACTGACAGGAGCACAGCCAACTCTATCACCCCCACCAGGCCCTCCCACACTGCTCAGCAGAGGACTCCAGCCCCTGGCATGCTACGCTGCAGCCTCCCCAGCCTCACAGCCCACTGCTCCTCCTCTGACGCTTTAGGGGCACTGAGCTCTGTCCTGCTGTGTGCAGGATCTTTGCACGAGTCTGTTTACTCTTTCTCCCTGGAGAACCATGTCCCTGGATTCACCCCTCCACTCAGTCTTTAGTTAATCAGCTTTCTTCCAGAAAATCTGAAGACAATGATTATTTCCTCTGGAGCACAGAGGGAGACACCCAGCCTCTCGAGAAAAGTATGTGTGGATGCCATCCCTGTAGGTAGGACCTCCTGAGGGCAGGGCAGGGGTAAGGGAATACTGTTCCTCAAATAGAACTAGTGACTGGAAGGAAATAGGGTTGGAGCCTCCCACTCTGCCCTGCCACTCATCAGCCAAACACTCCTTTCCACTCTGCTTCCAGGAGAAGAGTCGAGCCCTGGACAGTTTGGCTCAGCAGTTAGAGCGTCGGCCTGTGGTCCAGAGAGACCCGGGTTCGGTTCCTGCTAAGGGCACATACCTTGGTTGCAGTCTGTCCCCAGCCCTGGATGGGTTGTGCGGGTGGCAGCCACTCGATGTGTCCCTTTCACATCAATATTTCTCTCACACTCTCTCTTCCTCTCTCTCCCTCCCACTCTATCTGAACAAAAAATGGAAAATTGTCCTCGGGTGAGGATTAAAAAAAAAGAGAGAGAAGAGTCGAGGACTCAGTGGTCAGTGGTGGGTCTGTTGGGCTATATCATCACCCCCAATTTGACAATGTCCCAGATTTATGGGGTGGGGGGGAGGTTCCAGGCTTCGAGCCCCACCTGAAGACTCAAGTGAGGAGGTTAGACAGGCTGAAAGGTAGGGCTGGGGGCCAAGGGGTGAGCCCTGTAGTGGTTAGGGTACCCCAGGGAGAGGGAGGCTGAAGGGAAAGGTGTCAGGGCCGCAGCCCTAAGTGCTCTCCACAGTTATGCAAAAGAGTATGCACTCTGGGCAAAACACCTCGCAGTGGCCTGGCTTCTCTGCCTCCAATCTCTGTACTGTAAGAGGAGGTATGACCTTGCTGCTTACGTGAAGAATAAAAGTGACCCTGCCCAGGCAAGTGCTCAGTCATGGATGTTGCTCTGTCTCCTGGTCACAGCCTGGGGCAGCGCCCCTCCTTGGTGCTCTGCCACTCCAGTGGCTTCCATCTTGCTGCCAGGCCTTCTCCTGCATGCATTTTTCAAAGGTCCAGATTCTCAGAGTCTGAGAGCCCAGCCCTTCCTCAGTTATGTGGTTCAGGGCCCATGAGCCTAAATGTTCCAAGACTGGCATGAGGGCACGGTGCAGCTGCTGGAGGTGAAACCCTAGGGTCCAGAGCTCTGGTCTCCTGTGACTGGCCTTGGCAAGCTGCCAGCTCTTGTGACTCAGTTTCCTCATTGCTAAAATTTGGGTAATGGTACTGCACAGGATGGTCTGTGAGCAGGGTTATATGGGACGTTCCTTCTTGGGGTTATGATGCTGCCTGGCACACACTGGCAGTGGAGAAAGGAAAGCTGTTAGGCATCTGAAAGAAGGTCCATCGAAGCCCACAGAGGGAGAGGGGGGGAGGGGAAGAGCACCAGCTGACAACAGCAGAGCTGCTGCCGTCCTCACCCGAGCAGCCCTAGTCTGTGTGCTACAGAAACATCCATCCTCACCCCTACACGGCCCTGTGAGGGCAATGCCACCAACCCCATCTAACCACTGGGAAATGGAGACCTAGTGCAGAGGAGGATCTCACCTCATCATAGACACTCTCAATCTCATTGAGCAAGCTCTTGGAGCGAAGGGCCTTGGTGTCATTCTGCTTGAAGTTCACGGCCTGGTGGTCCAGAGACTTGAGGTATGCCTTCTCATACTGCTCCCGCCAAATCTTGTTGAAGCCCTGCTGGGCCTCCCGCCACTCCTCCTCCTTGGCCTTCAGCCTGCAGGGGCCACAGGGGCTCAGCACAGACAGTGTGGGAACAGACTGGGACACCCACCTGAGTCATCCCTGCATTAGGACTAGCCCGTCTTCCACCCACAGACTAGCTATTATAATGCAAACTGTGACAGCCAGCTCCAGGCCTGTGTTGAATAAAGGAGGGAAGGAGGAAGCCACGGTCCTAGAGGACCAATGTGGCCAGTTTTATGGTTTCTCAAACATTGCTGCCATGGAACCAACCTTCTGCCTGTCTTGGCTCCTACCACTGACTATATTGTGTGGCTGTTGGCTCAACTGTGAACCCCACGATGGAAGGGATTGTGGGCCTTGCTCAGCTCTGCAACCCCAGGGCCAAGCACAGCACCCAACTGTGGACAACCACTTAATTAATACCTGTTCACTATCATGGAAAAACTCCTAAAACATAGTACTAAATAAAAGGCAAAGTGTGGCCCTGGCCGGTTTGGCTCAGCGGTTAGAGCATCGGCCTGCGGTCCCGAGACCCGGGTTCGGTTCCCGCTAAGGGCATGTACCTTGGTTGCAGTTTGACCCCGGCCCTTGTTGGTGGTGCGGGTGGCAGCCACTCGATGTGTCCCTTTCACATCGATGCTTCTCTTTCTCTCTCTCTCTCTCTCTCCCTCCCTCCTACTCTACCTGAACAAAAAAATGGAAAAAATGTCCTCGGGTGAGGATAAAAAAAAAAAAAGGCAAAGCATGGTATAGGTTCCACTCTTAATACTTTGATCTAATTTTGGTGGCCAAAGGGCTCGAAAGACTGTTAACTGTGCTCTACTTTTGAGAGGGGAATAGGAAGATGAAGGAAGATTGAAAAACCCAGCAAGCCAGCTTGAAGCCCCAGTGACACCCCCTCCCTGCTCCCCTGCCTTGGGATGACACCTGTGACCAACACTAATGAGCTCCCAGGGGGCCAGAAGCCAAGGAAACCTTTTGAGGACGACAGGGACAGCGGTGACAGGGTTTTTCTTGAGGCTCTCGATGATCTCAGGAGCCTTGTCACCATAGATGCGATGGATGGCACGGCGTTGGATCACTTCTGACGTGCCCCCAAGACAGTCGTCCAGCCGGAACTTATCCTGGTCTTCTGGTGCCATCCGGGAGAGTTTCTTCTGCACGCTTTCCAACACTCGAATCGTGGCCAGGTTGGTCTCCAGGACAACGTCTAACTATGGAGAAGAAGGCAGGAAGGGGTCAATGGGACCCCGGGGAGGGGCCTGGGCTGGCAGAAGGGATGCTTGGACAAAGCTAACAAAGTCCACATCTGAGAGGGTATGACAGGCATTAGTAGGTGGGGCCCCAAGTAAGTGTGCCTGATTACTGGGCTGAGGGTCCAGCCAAGGGGAGCACAAATGCAGGACTCAGTGCTGAAGGACTGAGAGCCATCGGCCGCTCACTGCTGGCTGACCCTCTTCACGGGCATAAAGAGCAGGAATTTTTTTTGCTTGGCAAAAAATGGGGAAGGGCCCTCGATGGTTTGGCTCAGCGGTTAGATCGTTGGCCTGTGGTCCAGAGAGACCTGGGTTCGGTTCCTAAGGGCACGTATCTCGGTTGCAGTCTGTCCCTGGCCCTGGTTGGGTTGTGCGGGTGGCAGCCACTCGATGTGTACCTTTCACGTCAATGTTTCTCTCTCTCTCTTCCTCCCACTCTATCTGAACAAAAAATGGGAAAAAAAATGTCCTCGGGTGAGGATAAAAAAAAAAAAAAAGGAAGGGACCCGTGGTACACTTGGCCCCTGGATGAATCTCAGGGCATGTGCAGAGGAGAGCCAATTCTCAAAGGGTATACACCATGTGATTCCACTTATGTCACAGTGAGAGAGATGAAGGAACAAGTCAGTACTGCCCAGTCAGGGCAAGGAGGGGCAGGGAGGAAGGTGTTCAGATACAAAGGACAGAAAGAGGATCCTAGTGGTAAGGAGCCATTTAGCATCTTGGCTGTGGTGGCAGATACAAGAACCACCCAAGGTGGAAAAACTGCACAGAGATGAATACATGCGCATGCGCAATACAACACATGCATATGCCACATACGCATACACACGCAAACATAGGTGTGCACATGCAAATACAGTCCAACTGGGCAGATGTGCCAATGTCACTGACCCAGCGGTGATACTGTGACAGGGATTTATAAGCTGTTACCACTGAGAGAAGGGAACCTGGATTGCTGTGTTATTTCTTATATTGCATGGGAATCTACAATGATCTCAGCAAAATTATCAAAAAATTAACTTAAGCTAACCTAATTTTTAAAAATATGTACTTATTGATTTTTTAAGAGAGAGAGAAAAGGAGAGAGAGATAGAAATATCAACGTGAGAGAGATACATCTACTGGTTGCCTCTTGCATGCTCCCCACTGGGGATCGAGCCCGCAATTCGGGCATGTGCCCTGACCAGGAATCTAACCAGGACCTCTCAGTCCATGCAATGACACTCAATACATCGAGCCACACCAGCCGGGTGAGGCTAATCTAACTTTAATTAAGGTAATTACATTCAAATACATTGCCTAGCCAGCCCAAAGGAAAGCAAAGCAGAGAAGAGACCCATAAAGAGCTGCCCCTATTGGAAAGTGCTGGCATCTCTGATACTCAAGAGGAGACTAGGGGGTTGAGGGTCAGGATACATCCCAGAACGAAAAGGAAAATGAGCAGGGGAGAGTGAGAGGGCAGTGCCATGGAGGATGGGGGACAGGCACACACTCCAGGTCTCCGCCATCCTGGCCAGGGCCACCAGTGGGCCTTGCAGCACCCGCATACGCACCTCAAAACGCTCGTCCTCACAGCGGTGCAGCTGCTCCTCATAGGGCGTCTTCTTGGAGCTGACGAAGGTAGAGTCCTCGGACCAGGAAGGGAAGGAGACCCAGGTGTCATTCAGCACCTGCACCAAGAGAAAATGCTGTTACCCAGGTGCCAAGCTCTGGTGACCAGAACTGTTTACTGTATTATCCAGTGTAGAATATACAAGAAGTAATATTCCCTTATCATACAAGCAGTAAACTTTAGTGTTAAGAAACATGACTTTGATCAAGTGAACAAATCATACTATTTCAGGTGTCAGCAAACTTTCTCTGTAAAAAGCCAGATATTAAGTATTTCAGGTTTTGCGAGCCATGCAGTCTGTTGGGACTATTCAACTCTGCCTTAGTCTTAGTAAAGCAGCCACAGGTAATATGTAAACCAATGAGCATGGCTGTGTGCTAAAAAATCTTTACTAACAAACACAACCAGTGGACCAGCTCTGGCCTGGGATCTGGTCCACAGGCTGTTCCTTGCTGATCCCTGGACTACATTCTGGAATCCAGCAGGCACTCTTGAATTCTGGATATTCAGTTAACAGCCTGCCCTCTAACCCTGAAAAAGTGTTCAAATGTCAGCCTAAATGGAAATACAGAGGATAGTGAGCCTGGACAGAGCAGGTTCACAGCAGAAATGAATCTAAGTCAAAATAATGGAGGAATGTGCCAAACCCTATGTTGGCGCCATGGGCTCTATGGCTTACCAAAACTGCCAGTAGGGTAAGAAACTGTCACCTCTGCTCAGGTATTTGGCTTTGCCACATCCCAGCACATCCTTTATTCAACATTCAGGGGGTTGACATCCAGTCTTTCATCTGATATACAGGGCAAATGGGTGTTTGTGTGTGTGTGGCGGGGGGGCAGGGGGGGTAGGCAGGCAATGCATCACAGAAGCCAACGTTAAGTCCTGGGGAGCTACCTCTTTGCAGATGGCCGTCCTCCCACTGCACTTGGGCTGCTGGTAAGTTTTGGGGAGCGCCCGGTAGCTGGATCCGATGCGCTTGCAAGATGAGTAGTCGATTTCCCGGCTTATTCCATCCCCAGATCTGTCGCTCATGGGTGGAGCAAATGACAGCTCTTTCACCCCCAGGAAGGACTTGAATTGTGCAAAGAGTTCTGGAAATTTCCTTCAGAAATAAAGACAGATGGTAAGTTGATCCCCCCTAGGGCTTTCTGGGAATGATCTAGAAATTTCAGGATGGCTCCAGATAGATGCCTGTGGTTAAAGGTGGTCAGAATGCAAGGTCAGAAAGGAGAGGCAGAACCTAGCATCAGATGTGCATCAAGTCCCAACTTGGGAGTAAATCTGCCCCTCAAAACTCTGTCACCAGTCAGGCCCCATCAGTTGCAGGATGGCCTTGAAACACATTGGAAAAGACAACCTAGACTGGCAGAAGCTGGATCAGCAATGTTCCTTGACTTCTGGAAGAGGCCAGGGTTGGCCAAACTGCCTACACCTGTCTTTGTAAATAAAGTTTTATGAGCACAGTGATGTCCTTTCCTGACACATTGCTTGTGGCTTCTTTTGTACAATGCCTGAGGTGGGTAGTTCTAGCCCTTGGCCCTTGCCAAGCTCTGCTCCAGAGTCTTCCTCCCCCATGGTGGAGATCCTCACCTGCAATGCTGGGTCCTGGCCAACCCCCTTTCCCAAAGCTCACTGTGCATTAACCATGTGTGTGAGCTTACCTCCTAGAACATCCCCACCTCCCCAGCGGCTGCCCTAGCCTGGGGTCTGCCCACACACTGCAGCCCATACACTGCAGCAGGATGTGCTGGAACATGGTTGCTAACAGGGTTACTCTTTGGGTGGCTGGGATGCTCCAGTCTTGCATTCTTCCTGTAATTTCTGGTTGTTAGAATTTTATTTTATTTAATTAATTAATTTACTTTATCCTCACCTGAGGACATTTTTCCATTTTTTTTGTTCAGACAGAGCGGGAGGGAGAGGGGGAGAGAGAGAGAGAAACATCGACCTGAAAGGGACACATCGAGTGGCTGCCCCCCGCATGATTCAACCAGGGCCGGGACAAACTGCAACCAAGGCACGTGCCCTTAGTGGGAACTGAACCCGTGCCTTTCTGGACCGCAGGCCAACACTCTAACCGCTGAGCAAAACCGGCCAGGGCTGGTTGTTAGAATTTTAAAAGTCTACATTAAGAGAATCTCCAGGGTTTCATGCTGGGTGGAAAAAACTGATCCCAAAAGGTTATCATATGATTCCATTTATATAACACTTTTGTCATGTAAGTGTTAGAGATGGAGAACAGAGATGGCTGCCAGGGGCTTGGGGCAGGGACCAGAGCAGGAAAAGGGAGGGACAAAGGCTTAGGTATCAAAGGTCAGTACAAGGATCCTTGAGTACCTTGATTGTGGTGGGACAAACGCCCCTTCCCAGTGATAGAGCTATAGAGCTGTATGTAAACACACACACACACACACACACACACACACACACACACACACGTAACAAGGAAACCTGCAAAAATGGGTGGGTTGCCTAAGTGTCACCATTCTGGTTGTGGTGCTGAATTCAGATGTTACCACGGGGGGGGGGGGGGGGGCGCGGTCTGTGTTCTTTCTTACTACTGCCGGTGAATTATGACAATCTCCACAATTTCCATAAAGACAGTATCAAAAAAAGCACCTATCATTTTTCAAAAACAATAGCCCAAAGAAGAGTGGACAGAGTTTACAGAAACAGAACTCATATGAAGAGCCTAGGGCAGTGTTGCTCACCCTAAAAACGGGCTGACGAGCTGGAGGAGCTCAGAGCCAGACACGAGCTCCTGGTTGAAGAGTGCGATGCAGCGAAGAAAGTTCTCATAGACCTCCTGGCTCTTCAGGACCCTGCGCACCTGCAGGGAGAGCAAGTCAGGAGGCTTTGTAGGTTGGGCCCAAGCCTGGCTCCTGTGCCTATTTGGTTTAGACATCAGTAGATACATAGTCACCAACACGGGCTTGCTCTAAAGTGACTGGCTGTGGTCTGCAGGGCAATGCTCTCCTTGTAGTAATTTCCAGTTCAGACAGCATGGGCTGTCTTGCTGGCTCAGCCCACTAATCCTGGGTGGGAGTACCAGAATGATCCCTACTTTAGAAAAATCACACAGCTGGGGAGTGGCAGACGTGTGTCCTCAAATCTGGCTCGGACCCTGAGCTCTGCCTCCTCCTGCCCACTACCTGCCATCTGTTTAATGATGGTCCACACTCCCTTCCACTGTGAAAGCTGGTGCCAGCCCCTCCTCCCAGACCCACTTAAGAGCTCCCCTCTCCCTACATGCTCCCTTCCCAGGAGCTCCTGCCCTGCACATCTGAGCCCCACCAGTCACCTTGTCAAAGAATGAGAACTCTTGCAGAGTCCCATACTTCCCCACGGCAGCGATAGACAGGTCTTTGGTACCACGCAGTTTCATTTTTTTCTGTGGAGAGAAATTCGTGCTGTAAGTGCTCTGTGCATCCCATGGGCAGCCCCTCTGTCTATTTATGTCAGAGTCAACATGGCCAGCACTGAGTTCTGACAGAATCTGTCATTGGGTGCTGGATAAGGTCTGCCTAGGATCCCTGTGGATGAACATCTCAGAACCACCCAACTCCACGACCTAGTGAAGGGTGAAGGTCACACTACTGCCCCGCCCATAATGTGGGAGCTAAATCTAGACAGTTTAGGGCTTTTGATAACAGGTGGGAGAATCATAAAGTTGGAATAGCAAGAGAGCTGTGCCCCTAGATACAATATCAGAAACCTCTTCCCTGCCTGAGTTGTGACTGTGATGGGAGGGGGACAGGAAAGGGACAGGAAGAGGACAGCATTGGTGGGATCCTGAAGAAGCCCAGGTTTTAAATCTCTGTAAAGATTTTTGTTGCTAAAATGGACTAGGACTTGAACTTGGTTGTACTCCTAATGATACCATTGTAATTAACCCAGTTATTCATAACTGGAAAGGAGCAAAGGGAAGGCCAAATATTACGGGAATGCCATTTGTGCAACTTTGCTGGGAAGCTATAGTTTAACAGGAAGCCATCAGTTTATTCCCTGCAGGGGAAGGGACTGGACAGGGAGAGAACAGACGCATGCCTAATAAAGTTCTGGGTGACATAGGGAAGATACTTATCATTCACACCTGGGAGCGGGTCATTGGGACGCATGCCCAATAAAGTTCTGGGTGACATAGGGAAGATACCTATCATTCACACCTGGGAGCGGGTCATTGGCCAGAGTAGGCATGGCCACTGCAAACGCAGGAATATTTGAGATATTTAATCCGCTAAATAAAAGAGTTCACTCTCTTGCTCTCATGTTTTCGGGTCGGTTAGGACTCTTGTTGCAGGACACACTCTCTCGGCTCCCTGGCATTCACTCACATGGCTCATGGCCACGTGGACCCCACACAATGAACTAATGGACTGCAATTAGCCTGATCTGTGCCGGACCCAATTCCTACATGGAATGAAATCTCTGGATACTGGCTTTGCTCCTAGCTTTGTTGAGTCCCTAGCTGCACATCTTCCAGGATTGGATTAAGGGAAATGAGACTCTGAAAACCCAGAGATGTAATTCTACACAAATAAAAAATCACTCAACCTCCTGTACAAGTCTCAGAAAATTATTTTTCTTGAGATAATGTATGAACCCACTCCCACTAGCAACAAAGAAAGACCATCCACACTCTTCTCCTATAACACAGAGGCTACAAAACCATCTCCCAAGTGCCTGAAGAATGATGGCGATGTATTAAGAGGACACAGAAGCCAACCCAAAAGGGTCCCACTGGCCAACTTTGGGACAATTTGGGCATCAAGATAAACTAATAGTTACTGATTATAACTCCGAGTCCATATTGACATAGATAACTAAATAAATACGGATAAAGAGAACGCCCTTCTTAAGTCACCTAGTATATGAACAAAGAATGATGGAATGAGAAAAATCACTATCACGGGTGATGAGTGCAACAGGAGGTAGATCTCAGCCCCTCTCAGCCCTCAGCAGGGCAATGCCATGCACCGTACACAGGGCCCATGAAAGAGTCGTGATGGTGAAAAGGTGCAGATGGAGCATTACATGTGTCTCTCGAGGAGGAGGTAACACTCCTCACCACAACCTTGTGAGCCAGGGGAACAGATGAACAGCACCCTTAGAGGTGAGCTGACTTCCCAAGGTCCCACAGCCAGTGCATTTCAAGCCAGACCAGAGTCCAGACTCTGCCCCCTGCCCCAGGACTACTGTTTGGGGCCTGCAAATGTTGCTCCCTAGGTCATCTACAGAGAAGGCCAGGCTGCTGGGTATCCACACACGTCCATCTACACACATGTTGATGGTTACCTTGGCAGGTGCTGACACAGGACGGAGGAGTGAGGGCCGGGAGCGCTTTTTGCTGTGTTCCAGGTTCTTCTCGTGCTCACTCTTCTGGACACTGTTCATTTCACAGGGTCCATTTCCTGTGAACTAAAGACACAAACACAGGAGGTGGTTAGCATTGGAGAGATACGACCAGGCCCATCAGTGCTGGTTCTCCTTTTGTCTAAGTGCACGAAACTGCCTTCAGCTTGGCCACCAGCCCGAAAGAGCACTGTCTGCCATGGGCCAGGGGCTCTGTCAACATGTGAGATGACCACAGCTTTTGCGATGCTCACATTTACTGGGTGAAAGAACTGTGTACCCAGATCATGACAGTATAATAAATACCACGAGGCTGGAAGAATGGTCATGAAAGGCCATGATGGAGGATGGGTTATGATAGGCGAAGGAAGCCTCAGGGTGAAACACTGGAATTGGGCTGTGGTGTGTAGGGATTACCTAGTAAACCACTGATAGTAAGGGTCTGGTGTTCAAGTAAACCACAGAAGAGAAAAGCATTTGAGATGAGGGGACTGGCATGCACAAAGCCCCAGCAGCAAGATGAAGCAGTTGACAACTACCAGGTCACTTGGTAGGAGAGGGGCTTCCAGCCAAGTTTGTATTCTTTTCTATGAATGAGCAGTGTCATCACTCAGTGGAGACTCATCGCTGGTACTCTCAGGCTCTACACCAGTCATCTATTAACAGGTTAGGAATGCTTCTCCCAAGTAGGGTACCTATTGAGTGTCAGCAACATTTACAAAAAATGGTTCTGGAAGAATCTAGTCAGAATTTGCATCTATGTGAATGGGTCAGAAAGCTGGAGCAGGTGGAGGAAGGTGGGACAGACTGCAGCTTTCCTGCAGGATGTGGGCAGGGCCAGGGAGGCACCCCGAAATCGCCCCACCATATTGCCAGTTCCCAACCCCACAATGGAACCTGGACATGGAGACATCACATAAAAGTCGTGCTATAGGCCCAAGATGTGGGTTGGGTGAGCAAGTCATATTGCACCCAAACAAAACAGTAGCATCTATCAGGTAAGAGTGAGCTCTGCGTCTGTGTTTCACTGCTAGGGTACAGGTGTACCTGGTACCTTGTTAGGTAAAACAAAACAAAACAAACTAGAAACAGAACAGACAGGATGCCATTTTGTAAAAAAATGGACAAACATCTGTTTACACATGCAGTGGAAATTTCTAAGAGACATGATAGAAGAGACTGTGGGTGCTTAATTCTGAGGACAATGACTGGGAAACTGAGATGAAGGGAAATTTATTTTTCATACTTGATATTCTTTTTTTTTTTCTATCCTCACCCGAGGACATTTTTCCATTTTTTGTTCAGGTAGAGTGGGAGGGAGAGAGAGGAACAGAGAGAGAGAGAGAAACATCGATGTGAAAGGAACACATCGAGTGGCTGCCACCCGCAAAACCGACCAGGGCCGGGGACAAACTGCAACCGAGGTACATGCCCTTAGCGGGAACCGAACCCGGGTCTCTCAGGACCGCAGGCGGACTCTCTAACCGCTGAGCCAAACAGGCCAGGGCCATACTTGATATTCTTATTGATAATTTTTTTCATGAACACCTACTACTTTATAATAATTATAACAAGAATAATAAATTCCTATCATTAACTACAGGCCAAACTTTTCCCTTAGGGTATAAACTTCTTTGGAGAATAGTTACCTAAAAATGCAGTTACTCCAAGAACTTTAAGTGGAAAATTCTTTCTCATCTTTTTATAGATGCCAGAATAGGTGCAAACACCAATTTGTAAAGGAGGAGCTGCATGACATTACGACATGCACAGAGTGGGATGAGGTTGGGGCTAAGGGGAAACCCACTGCTCACCCAGCCAAGCCTGCCCAGCTGAAAGGGCAATATCAGTTAACAACATTAGTTAACAGTTCCAATTTGTGAACACTTGAGCTAGATGGACCCCAAGGCCCATTTGCCTGGGGGCTGGCATATTCACCATGCTTGGCCTGTTTCTGTAAATAAAGTTTTATTGGCACAGAGACACACCCACTCGACATATAATCCAAGGTTGCTTTTCTGACAGGATGGCTGAACTGAGTCTTTTCGAGAGAGGTTGCCTGGCTTGCAAATCCCAAGATACTATCTGGTCCTTCACAGGAAAACATCTGCCAACTCTAATCTAGGTCAGTCAAGTTTAATTAGGACAATATCAAATTTCATCTCATTTCTTTTTTTTCTTTTTTTTTTAATCCTCACCCGAGGACATTTTTCCATTTTTTGTGCAGATAGAGCGGGAGGGAGAGAGAGGAAGAGAGAGAGAGAGAAACATCGACGTGAAGGGACACATCGAGTGGCTGCCACCCGCACGACCAACCAGGGCCGGGGACAAACTGCAACCGAAGTACGTGCCCTTAGCGGGAACCGAACCCGGGTCTCTCCGACCGCAGGCCGACGCTCTAACCGCTGAGCCAAACTGGCCAGGGCTCATCTCATTTCTTTTTTCTGAAGTTTTAATAGAATCCAAAAATTAATATAAAGGATCATAATATAAAGATCACTTTATATAACAAATTATATATGGTGTTTTTAATAATTTAAAAACTGATTCAATCTTTCTAAATATATAAGGCAGCTCTAATCATCCAATATACACTAAAAAACTTTGCTGAATTAATAACAAATGCCATTTAAAGAAACTTTGTGGGCAGGCAGTTTTCTGAGGTAAATGCTTATTTTTTTATGGCAGGCTTTTTAGCTTATGTCCCATTTTGTAATTCCCAGTCATGCCCATCAGGGGGCACTGCAACCACAGCCATCAGAGATACAAGAGGTTCCACCCACCCAGTGTTGAAGAATCAACACCAAGATGAAATTTCATTAGAACTAAGACCACCCTTACCAAAAAATTGCTAAGAGTTGAAACTAGTGTGGACTGACAGTTTTACCAATTACCTAGTGTTGTGTAAAATCCCACCTTAACCCCAATGGACAGGACTCTCCACTCACTATACCCACCCCCAGGGTGGTTTAGTAGCAAAGCCCCAGGCTCACCCTGGCCAGGCACTTCCCTAAGGAATCTTCCGACTGACCTAGGGGGAGAGGACCCCATCACCACTTCCTAGATGAAGGAGCTAAGGCTTGTGAAAGTGACCTGCCAGGTACCTGCAGCAAGGAAGTGACAAAATGAGACTAGAACTAGATGTGCAATCATGACCTTGTTGCTCCAGGTGCTGCATCCACTATCTGGTCAAAGTAGGGCTGTTCTCTCAAGCCTACCTGAGGTGCAAAGAAAGGACATATAACTAGCCCTTTCACCTCTGCCAGAGTAGCAAAAGTTGGCTGGGGACTCGGCCAGGCCTTTTTTCCCATGAAGGTGAACTGCTCCTGAACCACTCGATGCTGATGGTTGGCTCTGGAAAAGCCAGCCAGGGACATCACTGTGTATCCATCTCCCTGCAAAGACGGAGTTCAAGGAAAGAGCTGCCAAGGCCGAGGTCAGAACTGAGATGCGAGACCCAGATCCAAGAGGATGAGACCTAAGGACAATCTATCAAGCATATAAGGGGGCAAGACAAGGCTTTACAGAGTGTGACAGGATGCAGCTGGAGCTACCAGGGATGCAGAAGGAGGCGGAGAGACATTTGCCGAGTAGAGGAGGAAGATGAAACACTGAGCACGTGCCCTGCAGAAGGCACTTGAAGAGCAACAGTTTGCCGAGTCCCCATCTGAGCAGGAGGGCAGTTAATCTGTGCAAGAGAAGGAAATGAGGCCCAGGAGGTGATGCAGCTGGCTCAAGCCCACCTACAGCACCCAAGGAGGCTGAGTGAGTGCCACAGCCCAGGCTGTGTGTTCACAGGGCTCTGCCTAGCCCCTCAACCCCAGAGGATGCCCGGGGCTCCAGGCAGGTTGAAAGGATGAGTTCCAGCTCCAGCACTTAATGTCAGCCCCACTGGAGTCAGGAAGTGTTTCCTGGTGGCATCCCTGTTTAGGGATAGCACTAAGTGTCCTGGAGACAATGACACGAGTTGGGGGTGGGGAGTGCAGGACAAGCCCAAGCCCATGTACTAGAAGTCTGCCTGACTGGACAAAGAGTCTTCCAAACACAGACTCCTATTCTCCTCCCTTTGAGACCACCTCCACAGCATCAGCATCTTCATTCAGAAGGAGAAACCAGGAGAGGTGGTGATGACACGTGAAGTGGGACGGGCTGGGGGGGGGGGGCACTTTTCTTGCACACTCCAAGTCATCATCAAGGGCAGAGAGGAAGAACAAAAAGAGGAAATGGGAGTTAACAAACTGGGCAGAGAAGAGAGCTTCCTCAATCCAATAAAGGGCATTTATGAAAAATCCACAGCTCATGGCACACTCAGTGGTGAAAGACTTAAACCTTTTCCACTAAGATCAGAACAAGACAAGGATGCCTGCTCCCACCAGAGAACTGGAGGTTCTACCAGGGCAATTAGGACAAAAAAAAAAAAGAAAGGACATAAAAATTGGAAAGGAAGACGGGAAACTATATTTGCAGATGACATAATCTGATATACAGAAAATCCTAGCAAAAGCACAAAAACAAAGCTAATAAATAAATTCAGCAAAATTGCAGATTACAAAATCAACACACAGCAGTGGCATTTCTATATGCTAGCAATGAATGATCAAAAATGCAATTAAGAAAACAATTTCATTTTCAATAGCATCAAAAAAATTAATACTTAGGAATAAATTTAACCAGGGCAGTGTATGTACACTGAAAACTATAAAACATTGCTGAAAGAAATTTAAGAAGATTTAAATAGAAAGATGGTCCAAGTGCATGGATTAGAAGGCTTAATATTGTTACAATGGCAATACCTCAGCAGCAGTTGAAAGATTCAATGTAATCCCTATCAAGATCCCAAAGGCAACTTCTGGTCAAGATGGTGGCGTAGGTAAACATGGTATTGCGTCCTCCCACAACCACATCAAAGTTACAACTAAACTACAGAACAACCATCATTCAAAGCTGCCTGACATCAAGCTGAATGGAAGTCCTACAACTATGGAACTAAAGAAGAAGCTGCATGGAGACTGGTAGGACAGGTGGAGGCAAACGGGCTGGTCCCACACCCACGTGTGGCAGATAAAAATTAGGATACCTCAGCTGGGAAGGTCCTCCCTGAGGACTGAGGGATCCCTGTCCCACACCAGGCGCCCTGCTCAGGGTTCCAGTGCCAGGAAGAGAATCCCCATAACTTCTGGCTGAAAAAACCAGCGGGAACTGAGGCTCAGGGAGGCGGAGGCAGCTGGAGCCCAGGCAGCTCCTCTTAAAGGGCCCGCACATGGACTTATTGGACTTGTTCCCTCTAGGCTCAGAGGGGAAGCAGTTTGAGGGGCGCCAGAGACATACAGGGAAGAACTGAGCTGTTTGGCATTGGAGCGAGGGATGGAGAGGGGGCTTTCTCCGGGACACATGTGCTGTCAGAGGCCTTTGTTCCTTTGGTGAGCCCTTTCCTTTGGTGAGCCCTTCCCTGCGGCGGCAGACAGTCTCCATATCTGGGACTCCAGCAACCTGGCTCACACTGTTTGCTCCCCCCTCCATGATTCCCTGAGGCCCCGCCCCACCCAACTTTCAGGCCCACCCAAGTTGTTGCCAGTTGCTTTATCATAGGATTGGCCTGTCTTGGATCCTGCTTCAGGTTTTCCTAAATTCTTTCCAACAAGCGGCATCTGGTCTCAGCTAGCCCCATACCTCTTGTAAAGTAATACGTAGAAACAAACACAGGGAGGCAGCCAAAATGAGGAGACAAAGAAACAGGTCCCAAGTGAAAGAACAGAACAAAACTCCAGGAAAAGAACTGAGTGAAATGGAGATAAGCAACCTAATAGATGCTAAGTTCAAAACACTGCTTATAAGGAAGCTCAATGAACTTAATAAGAACCTCAGCGAACTTAGTGAGGGCCTCAAGAGCATAAAAAAGGACCAGTCAGAAATGAAGGAGGCACCAACTGAAATAAAGAATAATTTACACAAATTCAATAGTAGAGTAGGTAAAGCCAAGAAGCAAATCATTGACTTGGAATATAAGGAAGCAAAAAACACCCAATCAGAACAGCAAAAAGAAAAAAGAATCCAAAAAAATGAGGATAGTGTAAGGAGCCTCTGGGACAACTTCAAGCATGCCAACATTCGCATCTTGGGGGTGCCAGGAGAAGAGAGAGAACAAGAATTAGAAAACCTATTTGAAACAATAATGGCAGAAAACTTCCCTAACTTGGTGAAGGAAACAGACATACAAGTCCAGGAAGCACAGAGAGTCCCAAATAAGATGAATAAGAGGCCCACACCAAGACACATCATCATCAAAATGCAAAAGGTTCAAGACAGAGAGAGAATCTTAAAAGCAGCAAGAGAAAAGCAGTTAGTTACCTACAAGGGAGTTCCCATTAGACTGTCAGCTGATTTCTCAAAAGAACCTTTGCAGGCCAGAAGGGAGTGGCAAGAAATATTCAGAGTGATAAAAAGCAAGAACCTACAACCAAGATTACTCTATCCTGCAAAGCTGTCATTTAGAATCAATGGCCATATAAAGTTTCCCAGACAAGGAAAAGCTAAAGGAGTTCATCACCACCAAACCATTATTATATGAAATATTGAAGGGTCTTCTTGAAGAAAAAGATAAAAAAATATAAACAAACAAAATGGCAATGAACACATATCTATTGACAATTGAATCTACAAACAAAATGAACAAGCAGAACAGAAACATTCTCATAGATACAGAGAACATTTTGTTGGTTGCCAGACGGGAGGGGGTTGGGGGAATGAGTGAAAGAGGTGAAGAGATTAAGAAGTACAAATTGGTTGCTAGACTGACAAACCTCAAAGGGAAGGGAGGTTGGGGGATGGGAAGAAATAAACCAAAGAACTTATATGCATATATGCATAACAAATAGACACAGACAACAGTGTAGGGAAAGGCAGGAGGGGGGCAGAAGGGGGACAGGAGAGGGGAGGAGGGTGTCAATGGGGGAAAATGAGCAACATCTGTAATACATTCAACATTAAAGATAAGTTTAAAAAAAAAAGATCCCAATGGCTTTTTTCACAGAAATGGAAATACTGACCTTCAAATTTATACGAAATCGCATGGGATCCTGAACAACAAAAACATTCTTAGAAAAGAACAAAGTTGGAGGAGTCACACTTCCGGCTTTGACTTACTACAAAGATACAGTAAACAGGACAGTGTGGTGCTGGCATAAGGGCAGACATTGAGATTAATGGATTAGAATGGAAAGTTCAGAAATAAACTCATATCATGATGACCTACTGGTTTTCAACAAGGATGCCAAGATCATTCAATGGTAACAGAACAGTTTCTTCAACAAATAGTGCTTGGATGACTGGATCTCCACATGCAAAGGAATGAAGTTGGACCCTTACCTCATACTACATATAAATACTAACTCAAAAGGGATCGACCACCTAAATATAAGAGCTAATACTATAAAACTATTAGAAGAAAACACAAGAACACAGGGAGAAACCTTCCTGACTTCAGAAGATTTGGCAGTGGATTCTTAGATTTGACACTAAAAGCATGAGCCAACAAAAGAAAAAATAAGTAACTGGACTTGATCAAAATTTAAACTTATATGCAAAGGACACTAACAATAAAATAAAAAGACAACCTGCAGAACGAAAGAAAATATCTGATAAGGATCTAGTGTTCAGAATATATAAAGAACCCTTGCAACTCAACAACAAAGAGACAAACTAAAATATGGGCAAAGGACTTGAATACATATTTCTCCAAAGAAGATACACAAATGGTCAATAAGTACATGAAAACATGTTCAAAATTATTAGCCATCAGGGAAATACAAATCAAAACCACAAGGAGATACTACTTCACATCAACCATGAAGGCCATAAATTTTTTTAAAAAAGGAAAATACCAAGTGTTGGTGATAGGGAGAAATTGCTAGTGAGAACATAAAATGGTGCAGCTGCTTACAGAAAACAGTTTGGCAGTTCCTCAAAAACTTAAACACAGAGTTGCAATATGACTCAGCAATTCTACTCCTAGGAATAGGCCCCAAGGAATTGAAAACAGGCACTCAAACAAATCCTTGTATACACATGTCCACACTAGCACTACTCAAAATCGTTAAAAAGTGGAAATGGCCCTGGCCGGTTTTGCTCAGTGGTTAGAGCATCGGCCAATGGACCAGAGTCTAGGGTTTGATTCTGGTCAAGGGCTTTACCTCTGTTGCAGTTCAGTCCCAGCCCTGGTTGGGGTTGTTTGGGAGGCAACCAAGTGATGTCTCTCTCTCACATCGATGTTTCTCTCTCTCTTTCTCTCTTCCTCCCTCCTTCTCTCCCTCCCTCCCTCCCACTCTAACTGAAGATAAATGGAAAAATATCCTCAGGTGAGGGTTAAAAAAAAAGTGGAAATGACTCAGGTGTCCACTAACACATAAATAGAATACAGTCCATCCACACATGAACTATTACTCAGCCATAAAAAGGAATAATGCACTGACACATGCTATAATGTGGATGAACCTTGAAAACATGCTGAGGGAGAAAAGCCAGACACAAAGACCACATGCTGTATAATTCCATTTATATGAAATGTTCAGAACAGGCAAATCCATAGACAGAAAGTCGATTGGTGGTTGTCAGGAGCTGGGGGAGGGGAATGAGGAATAACTGCTAAGGGGGACAGGGTCTCCTTTTGGGGTGATGGAAATGTTCCAGAACTAGATAAGAGGTAATGATTGCACAACATGTGAATGCATTAAATGCCACTAAATTGTACACTTTAAAATGGTGAATTTTACTCCAACTAAATTTTTAAAAAGCACCTTATGTTCCTGGAAAAGAAAAGGAAAAGAGGGACTGGAAAGGGCAGCCTAGCAAACCTCAGGCCACAAAAGGGGGAGAAAAATTGATAGTGCAGTCTGCACCCTCACAGTCCCTGTTCTAGGTCCCTCCTCTGCTCTCTGGCCCCCGATCACTGCCAAGCCTCAGCCTACCCCACCCATCCCTCCAGAGGTGGAGGTGGTGGGCCCACCTCTCCTGCACCTGCCCACAGGGCCGTGGTACAAGGCAGGTGGCTCTGCAGTCCTGGGCTGCAGGTCAGGAGGAATACAAGGTTCTCTCCCATCTCCACCTACCAAGCCAGCCCTCGCCATCTGGCACTGTCCTCTTCAGAATCTACTTCAGCTTGACACGGAGGTGGAGACTGTGATGGGAGCCTGCACTAGGGCCCCCTGGGTGTTTGTATCCTGTGTGGCTCCTGGGGGAACCCAGTAGTCCTGGCTAAGAAGGTGGCCCCCGGACTGGGTGGGTGCTCCGTACTCACGAGGGACCGCTTGGCTTCGGGCAGGAACTGTCCAAACTCTGAGAGCAGGTCCTCCTGGCCCCGAAAAAGGTTTGCCACCTCGGTGAACACCTCCTCTTCAGACATGCCTCGGAAGGGTCGGCCCTTCGTGCTCAGCTGCTCTTTCTACAGATTGTCAGGAAAGAGAAAATGAGTTGTTAGCCAAGGAACTAGGTACCTAGGCTTTGACATTCAGGCATCCCACTGTGGAGGAGACAGGACAGCACTGGGAGAGAGGGGCCCAGCCTGACACCCTGGGGTGTCCCATGCCGGCTCCCTTGTCTGGAAAGTTCTGTGTGCTTGTGTTTGAATCCTGTTCCACAACATAACATGAACCCTGGCCTTGGAAAGGGCCTGTGCTAGGAGTGGGAGGGAATGTGGACAGGGGCACGGTCATGGAGGGACATGCTCCCAGGCCTCTCAAGGGCAAAGGAGCATCTTTTGCTGGGCAGGGCAGTGTGGAGCTAGTGTTGGGCTTCAAAGGAAAGGGGGTAAAGAGGAATAGAAGACACTTCCCCGCCAACAAAACTATTTACCCAGAGTCACCAACACCTGAGGGTTGAAAAAAGATGGCCTGATCTGGAGTTCAAAGCAACTACATGAAGACTGGAGGGGACCTGGTTTGGGAGGGCAAGAAGCCGTGAGCAGAACTCAAGTTGGACATTAAAAATAAATCCCTGTCAACTTTACCCCTGAGAATGTGCCCAAGCAAGAGGCATCAGGGCCAGGGCCCTCCCAGAGTGCAGGACATTCCCACTCAATATGGCTACTCCACAGCTACAAAGAGGAACGAGCTAACATCTTCCCCCTTCCTGGTCTCAATGGCGCTACCATTTTTAGTAGGTGTTGCTGAGTTTCCCAGTGTTGTGCCCTAATCCTGTTTTCCCATAAGCCCCATGACTGGTGCAAATTTCCAGAGCAAGGTCACTTTTAGAAATGTCACATATCACATCAGGGCAGAACGGCTTGTGCTCATCCAAGTACACATGGGACATATGTACAAAGTTGGATAATGGGGACCAGTCCCCACAGCTGACCCAAGGCAAGCACTGTGTATAAATCAATGACCTTAGTTAAGTGTATCCAACCCAGGGGTCAAAACCACCTGTGTTACAGCCATTTTACATCAGAACCTGAGGTTTAGTGGGGTGAAGGAAAGGGCTCTCAAGGGGCAGGTGGCAGAGCTAAGATCTGAACTGAGGCCCAACAGAGATAGAAACCCTGTAACACATGGCTAAATTTACCCAAAGCTGCTTGCTTTGGGCCTCATGGTGCTTTAAAAAATCTAAGCCAATGTTTTAAGGTCAAGATAAGTCACACAAAAACACAAAGACTTCTAGTCTTGAAGAAAAAAATGGCCTGAGGTCTGGGTCATCAGGAGGCTTGTTTAAAATGCAGATGCTAAGAACAGGTATACAGACCAGTGGAACAGAACAGAGAACCCAGAAATGGACCCAAGACATTATGCTCAATTAATATTTGACAAAGAAGGCAAGAGCATACAATGGAGTAAAGACAGCCTCTTTAACAAATGGTGCTGGAAAAATTGAACAGCTACATGCAAAAAAATGAAACTAGACCATCAACTTACACCATACACAAAAATAAACTCAAAATGGATAAAAGACTTAAATGTGACCCGTGAATCCATAAAAATTCTATAAGAAAATGTAGGCAACAAAATTTCAGACATCATACATAGCAGAATTTTCACTGATATATCACCTAAGGCAACAGAAACAAAGGAAAAAATGAACACATGAGACTACATCAAACTAAAAAGCTTCTGCACAGCAAAAGATAGAACCATCAAAATGGAAAGGCAACCCATTGTATGGGAGAGCATTATTGCCAATGATACATCAGATAAGGGGTTAATTTCCAAAATATATAGCGTGCCCATACAACTAAACAAAAGGAAGACAAAGAACCCAATTAAAAAATGGGCAGAGGAGCTGAATAGACACCTCTCCAAACAGGACATACAAATGGTCAAAAGACATATGAAGAAATGCTCAATATCACTAATCATCAGAGAGATGCAAATTAAAACAACAATGAGGTATCACCTCACACTGTCAGAATGGCCGACATCAACAAATCATCAAACAAGTGTTGGTGAGGGTGTGGAGAAAAGGGGACTCTAGTACACTGCTGGTGGGAATGCAGACTGGTGCAGCCACTGTGGAAAACAATATGGTGTTACCTCAAAAAATTAAAAATTGAACTGCTGTTTGATTGACCCAGTGATCCCACTTCTAGGAATATACCCTAAGAAGCCTGAAACACCAATCAGAAAGAATATATGTACCCCCATGTTCATAGCAGCACTATTTACAATAGCTGCTGGAAACAGCCCAAGTGTCCATCAGTAGACGAATGGATAAAAAAGCTGTGATACATATATACAATGGAGTACTATGCAGCTGTAAGAAAGAAAGATCTCTTGTCCTTTGAGATGACATGGAGGCACCTGGAAAGTATCATCCTAAGCAAAACAAGCCAAGCAGAAAAAGACAAATACCACATGATCTCACTTATTTGTGGAATATAATGAACATAACAATCTGAGGAATAGGGTAGACCTAGAGACATGGAAGTAGGGTACAGACTGACAACCATCAGAAGAGGGGGTGGTGGGGGGAGGGAAGAGATAAACCACAGAACTTATATGCATGTACACATAACCAATGGACATGGACAACAGAGCCAGGGACGGGGTAGGGAAATGGGGAGGAGGATGTCTATGGGGAGAAACATTTGTAACAAAAATAAAATTAAAAATAGTCTGTAGAAAAATAAATAAATAAATAAATAAATAAATAAATAAATAAAATGCTTAGCTACAAAACAAAAAATAAATAAAATGCAAATGCTGGGCCGGATGTGAGGAATGAGTCCCAGGCACCTGCATTTCCAACCAACTCTCAGTGGCTCTGGCTGGAGGACACTGAGCTGTACCCTTCCAGTGGAGTCTTTTCTGAATGAGTCTGTAGGTCATTGATATGACCTTAGATAAATAAGTCTAACTTCTCTGCCTCCCTATTACCATTAATAGAACAGACACCTCCCAGCCTTCTCTCTAATGATCCTTCCAGCCCCTAAACTGTAATGACCCCATGAAATATGTGAAGGATCCATAAACTCCTATGACCCCAAACCTCACTGTCCCTGCCCCCAGATCAAATGTCCACAGCTGCCACTGCAATTGCTCATGTGTGAGAAGCAAGTTCTTACTGCTGTACAAGCACAATATACACATAGACATGAGTCTGATGGGGCCATGCACACCGCCAGCACCACTGATGGCACAAGTTTGTTGCATCAAAACAGCTCTTTGGCCCTGGCTGGTTTGGCTCAGCGGTTAGAGCGTCAGCCTGCGGTTCAGAGAGACCCGGGTTCCCACTAAGGGCACGTACCTCGGTTGCAGTTTGTCCCTGGCCCTGGTTGGGTCGTGTGGGTGGCAGCCACTCGGTGTGTCCCTTTCATGTCGATGTTTCTCTCTCTCTCGCTTTTCCTCTCTCTCCCTCCCACTCTATCTGAACAAAAAATGGAAAAATGTCCTCGGGTGAGGATAAAAAAACAAAAATAAAAAAAAACAGCTCTTTGCCCTGGTTGGTTTGGCTCAGCAGTTAAAGCGTTGCCCCGCAGAACAATGAGTCACAGGTTCGATTCTGGTCAAGAGCACGTACCTCGGTTGTGGTCCCCAGCCCTGGTTGGGGTCATGTGGGAGGCAGCCACTCGATGTGTCCCTTTCACGTCGATGTTTCTCTCTCTCTCTCCCCTTCCCACTCTATCTGAACAAAAAATGGAGAAATGTCCTCGGATGAGGATTAAAAAAAAAAACCCAGCTCTACTGGTTTTACAGGGAGCAAATGTTATCAATCTGACCTTACACACTTATGCTAAAGAGAATCCCACTTCTTTATTTCACTTATCAAGGTTGTGCAGGAGATTTCATTTTTTAAAGTGTGGTCTGCTCTTAGAAAAAGGTGTCAGAAACTCCATGTCTGGAAGAGAATGATGTCCAAGCTACTTGTATGATACAGACGTCCCTCGCCACTGGCTTGCCTGCACTTCCTATCAAGTCCCCTTCTGACCTCTGGGCCTTTGCACAGGCTGTTCCCAACACCATGAGTCCCCATCCTTTATTTGTACTTGTCTACCTGATGGTTCTGACCCATTTATCAAGATTCAACCCAACTCTCTTCTCTCTGATCCCTACACTATTGGCAACCATTAACCCTGGCATACTTCTTTGCATTTCCCTTCTTTTCCACCCCAATCATTTCTGAGTTTCTCCCACCTCTAAACTGAACTCCTAAGCAGCAGCAATCATTCATCTCTGTTGCCCCAGCACCTACAAAGGGCCTAGTTGTAATCAGCTGAAATGAAGGAAGCTGTGTGGTCTAAACAATAATGAAGTCATCTTATAGAAACTTCTTAGGTTCTCCCCCCGCCCCCCGCCCCTTATTGATTTGAGAGAGAGAGGAAGGGAGAGGGAGAAATAGAAACATCGATGAGAGAGAACATTGATTGGCCACCTCCTGCATGCCCCCCACTGGGGATCGGGGCCACAACCTGGGCATGTGTCCTGACTGGAAATGGAACTAGCAACCTCAACCGCTGAGCCACACCAGCCTGATCTTAGGTTCTTTTTTAATCCCTCTGATGTATGTGTCCTTGGGTGCAGAGCTGCCTCAAGGAGCATATTAAAATCAAAACTAAACAGAACTCCAATAGGTATTGTACACCCATGTTCACAGCAGCCAAAATGTGGAAGTAACTCAGGTGTCCATCAACAGAATGGAGTATTATTCAGCCTTAAAAAGGATATTCTGATACATGCTACAACATGTGCTGAGTGAAATAAGCCAGTCACAAAAGGACAAATACTGTATGATTCCACTTATGTGAGGTCCCTAGAGGAGTAAAAAAATTCACTGAGACAGAAAGTAAAATGGTGGGTGCCAGTGGCTGGCAGAGGGGAATAGAGTTAGTGTTTAATGGGGACAGAGTTTCAGTTTTGCAAGATGAAAGAGTTTTGGAGCTGGATGGTAGTGATGGCTGCACAACAGTTTGAACATGCTTAATGCCACTGAACACTTAAAAATGCTTAAGCCCTGGACAGTTTAGCTCAACAGTTATAGCGTCGGCCTGAGGACTGAAGGGTTTCAAGTTCAATTACAGTCAAGGGAGCATATCTGGGTTGCAGGTTCAATCCCTGGGGTCTTGCAGGAGGCAACCAATCAATATGTCTCTCTCACATTGGTGTTTCTCTCTCCCTATCCCTCCCTTCCACTTTCTCTAAAATTAAACATACTTGGGTAAGAATTAAAAAAAAAAGGTCAGTCCTGGCCAGTTTGCCTCAGCAGTTAAAGAGTCGGCCCGCAGACCAATGAGTCGCAGGTTCCTTGCAGTTCGTCCCTGGACCTGGTCAGGGTCGTGTGGGAGGCAACCAGTTGATGTGTCCCTCTCACGATGATGTTTCTCTCTCTCTCCCTTTCTCTCCTTCCTACTCTAGCTGAAGATAAGAAGAAAAATATCCTCGGGTGAGGATAAAAAAAATTTTTTTTAATTAAAAAAAAAAGGTTAAAATGCTAAGTTCTGTATTACCTGTATTTTACCACAGTAAAAAAAAATAATGGAAAGAAAAAGAGCTTATCAAATATTTACTGGATTCTATGAATTCAGACAAGAAAATGCTTCCAAGGCCTCTGACATTGGATTGTGCCATAGTCACAGAGAAGTGTGACCTGAGGTCACTTACCTGGTAAGTATGCAGTATCTCTAGGAATGACCTGTAGATCTCAGGGTGGTCCAGAAAGCGGGTCTTAATCTTGTTCACATAGCTAATGGCGTTGTTGAACTCCACAGAATCTGACTCCAAGGGTACCTGGGGTTTGTCCTCCTTGTACAGCAGCTGTTGTTTAAAGTTTTCAGCACAGTCACTGTGGTTGTGCGAATTCTCCTGACAATAACATGACAGTAAGTTACTGTCGGCCCAACACCAGGAACAGATTGTGACAAATGCCAGACCAAGCCACTCTCTGTATGAAAAAAGGCAAAACCTAGCACAAAGCCAAGTGTTTTAATTAGATGCAGAAAAAAGGTTACTTCTGCAGGCCCAAAGGGAGGAATGCAGATGGGGGACCCACAGAACATGCAGATGCAGATAGCTCCTCCTGGGCCTTCTGTGGGTCTGTGCGCTCCTGCGAAAGTCTCATGAACTCAACTCTGCCTGATCATTCCCAACTGATTCAGAGAATACAAAGGTTTGAGAAATACTCTATAGTTGAAAAAATCAGCATTTGTGAGAAATGTACAAAGTGTGGATTGTTTAATCCTTTTCAGAGTGGAGTTTTGACCTCTTTATAAAAGAAGTCTTTCCACACTTTTTGCCAGCCCATTTCAGCAAGGATTGTTTTCAGTTGTTTAAGCACCTGCTCTTAGCAGGTATAAAACTGGGACCCTGCAGGACTGTGGGACTTAGGGTACTAAGCCCAGGGCAAGTCACTTGAGAGAAAAGATGAACCCTGGCCAGTCGTCAAGCATGCCCTTCATTTGTGTACTTTTCCATCAATACAAATAAAAACACAGACATACACACGTCTCTCTCCTATGCACTCAAAATCCTAATTCTTTGTGGGATAGGACACCCCCCAAGGTGATAGTTATGTTTCTAAACTGGAATTTTGCATGTGGTTCTGATGATAGCTTCCCTCTGCCACCGACAGCAGCTGGGCCATCAAGAGTGACCCCTGGCATCCTGTATATCCCCAGCAATCAGGGGCTGTTTTTCAAGTAGTCTTCTGGAACCATCCTGTGCCAAACTAAAATGATCCTGTCTCCCAGGGCTCTGAGACTCTTTTGTGCTGTTTTTCTTATACATATAACATATTGCACTTATTTTGTTGTCTGTCCACGCTGACCAGATGGCAAACACCATGAGGACAGATATTCTACTTTGTTCACAGCTATATCCTCAGTCCCTGGAACAGAGCTTGGGACAGACCAGGGTTCCTCCACTGCCAAGGAATGAATGATCAGATGAACAGATGAAGGAACAAACTGAGTCTACTGTTTTAATCACCCAGGCACCCTGCCTGCACCAACCATTGACCAAAAAGGTTCTGGCGGGATGGGGACTGCTGGGCACACTGGTCATCATCTGGATGGGTGTGCTAATCTGCTTGGGATGCCATAACAAAAGACTGGGCAGCTTCAATAACAGAAACTATTGCTGCTCTGGAGGCCGGTTTGTCCTGAGGCCTCTTGGCTTGCAGATGGCCACCTTCTTGTGGTGTCCTCACATGGCTGTCCCTCTGTGTGCACACATTCCTGGGTGTCTCTGTCCAAATTTTCTCAGGACATGTTAGACTGGATTAGGGCTTACCCAAAAGGCCTTATTATACTTCTGCAAAAACACTATCTCCAAATATAGTCATAGTCTAATATACTGAGGACTCAGTGTAAGAAGTGGGGGGGAGGGGAGAAGGACACAGTTCAGACCGTAACAGTGGATGTAGAGGCAACTCTAGAGAGTCTGAGCTGAAGAAAACAGAGACACAACAGATCCAGAGCAGTCACAATTCTAAACACCACTTCTCCCAGGAGTGGAATTCATTCCAAAACACTCTGGGGATGCTCTTGCTGATTACCTCGAGGTAGAAGAAGGAAGGAGCAGGAAGAGGGAGCAGCATTGGGGCTGGGGTTTGCTTCACAGAAGGTTGTATGCTCCCTAGAAGCTCCCCACCACTCTGAAGGGGCATTTTCAAGTGCTACATTCCCCTTTCAAACCCCTAGAGTGAGTCACTGTGACAAAATAGAGAACCATCTCCAGAGACCAGGACTCCACAAAATGAGACAGACAGTAATGGTGCAGTGGCTATAGCAAACAGTCTGGCGTTTCTTTAATAAGTTAAACATAGTTACCACATGACCCAGCAATTCCACTCTCAGGTATCACCCCAAAAGAACTGGAAACAGTTGTTCAAACAAATCCTCAAAAATGCAGGTTCAGAGTGGCACTAGTCACAATCACCAATAGATGGAAACAACCCACGTATCCATCAGTTAATTGGATGAACAAAATGTGGTTCCCATCTATACAGTGGAATATTATTCAGTCATAAAAAGGAATGAAACTCTCCGTCATGAACGTTCTAATACAATGTGGATGAACCTTGAAAACACCATGACGAGTGAAGGAAGACAGATGCAAAAGGGTATATAGTGTATGATCCCATTTATATGAAATGTCCAGAACAGGCAAATCTATATAGACAGAAAAGTGGATTACTGGCTGCCAGGGGAGAATTGGGAGGTATAGGATCTTTTCGGAGTGATAGAAATCTTTAGGAATTGGTGGTGGTTACATGATATTGTGAATATACTAAAAACTACTGGACACTTTAAAATGGTTATAATGGTGAATTTTGTTATCTAAACATTACCAAAATAAAAAATATTTTTAAAATGCAAGCTTCAGAAAATGTAAAAACCACTGGCCATACAAAAAAAACAAACTGGCTTTGGCCCATGAGCCACAGTTGGCCAATTCCAGGTCTGACCTTTCTAGAACTATCCAGTCTTCTCTTCTCTGCCAGCTGGGGGTGGCCTGGTCTAAGCATATGAAATGGCATAGCAGCCACAGTGGCCTTTCCTGATTCCTCCGCCAACTTCCCATACTCCTGTTTCTCTATTCCACCCTCTACCCATCATACCCCAATCCCATGGGGTTCCTGGCTATTTCTAAAACACACCCACTTGTTCCTACCTCAGGCCTTTACCCCCACCACTAGGAAGACTCCCATCCCCCACCCCAGCAAAGGCATAGTTCCTGTTACCCTCCTCCAGCCCTGCCCCTGCCATCTTTCCCCTGCAGTGCTGAACTCCCTCACATATTTCATATCTGTCCACCTATATCTCATGAGTTTCCACCCTGACTGTGCAAGCACCTCAAGGACTTCCAATAAAACCCAGGGCCTGACGCAGAGGAGATGGTCTACACTCCCTCTGTGGGTGACTTAGGCAGAGACGACCTGCCAGGAACTGACTAAACTTCCAAATGAGCCTCCCTAGACAGTAGACAGAGGCCTCCCTCTGAATGCAATGGGGCCATTTATATTATAAGCTACACCTAAAGGTTTATCTTTTCATCTCCAAGCTGGCTATTGTGCCAGCCAAGCATACAAAAACCAGCTCCCAGATGGCAGAATCTGCCTTCAAGGGGACCCAAAGGCATCCAGTTTCCTGCCCTGACAACATGTGCCAAAAGGGGGACACAGTCTTGCCTGATCAGGAGGACTCCCAGTTTTCCAGGAAAGGCAAATCAAGAAGAACCACTGGATTTTTAATTTTCCCCCTGACTTTGCTACTCTGAAATATACAAAAAGGTGTGGTGGGAGAATGACTTGGAGGTGATAGTAGGGGGCTCTCTGCAGAGGTGAGGTAACAACTGAGGTCCAGATGACCAGATCCAAAATGGTGCCAACTCAGGAGGCTGTGGCCCCAGCAAGGGAACCTTCTTTCCCATGGTCCCCTGGCCCTCCTTTGGCCATGCTGCCCTCATCAAAGCAAATGTCTATCAGTGTTCCTCTTTAGTGTTTTCAGTTGGGATGATTCTGCCACACAGGGAACAATTGGCAGTGTCTGGAGACATTTTTATTTTTATTTTTCATCCTCACTCGAGGACATTTTTCCATTTTTTATTCAGATAGAGCAGTAGGGAGAGAGAGAGGAAGAGAGAGAGAGAGAGAGAAACATCGACATGAAAGGGACACATTGAGTGGCTGCCACCGCACGACCCAACCAGGGCCGGGGACAAACTGCAACGGATGTACATGCCCTTAGCAGGAACTCAACCCGGGCCTCTCCGGACCGCAGGCCGACACACTAACAGCTGAGCCAAACCAGCCAGGGCTAGAGACATTTTTAAGTTGTCATACTGGAGGAGGGAGTGTTACTGCTATCAAGTGGGTGGAAAAGAGATGCTGTTCAGTGCCTTACAGTGCACAGGATGTCCCCACAAGAAAGAATGATCCAGCCCCAATGGCAATGGTGCCAAGGCTGAGAAACCCTGCACGAAGGGCTCCCCAAAGGCTGGGACACCCTTATTTCTCTTCCTCAGCACCTAGGACAGGGGTGGGGAATGTCAGGCCCGCGGGCGTTGAACGCCCACAAAATCTGTACCAGCTAACCTCACACACCTCACCAAAGAGAAACAGTTCCATACAGCACATTAGGAGTGAGTTAATTGTTTGACCAAATATAGCAGGCTAACTTTTCTAGTATTTTTAAAAACTGTTTTTATTGATTTTTTTAGAGGAAGAGAAAGGGAGAGACAGAAACATCTGTGTGAGAGAAAAACATGAATCAGCTGCCTCCTGCATGCCCCCCACTGGGGATTGAGCCCACAACTGAGGCATGTGCCCTGACCGGGAATTGAACCAGGACCTCTCAGTCCATGGGACTCAACCCACTGAGCCACACCGGCCAGGCAGCAGGCTAATTTTTAAGTTGACAATTTGTGTAGCCCCCAAATGATGTTATAAATATCCAAAAGGCCCTTGGCAGAATAAAGGTTCCCCACCCCGACCTAGGAGCTACTCACTCCTTGTGTGTAGTTGACAGGATTCGTGACAAGGTGAAAAATGGGAAGAATAGAGTTGTATTTCAAAACAGCGAGGCTAAAAAAACCTATTTAAAGAAAGTCACCAGGGCACTGATATATGGGGACCCCTGTAAAGATCTCCAGCTATTCTGGCCTCTCAAAGAACTCTGGGAAGCCAAGACATCTCATTTGTGCCTGGCGTTGAGGACTACTGACAACGAGGTTGAAAACCCTGCTGGTCCTTAGTGTTGACTGAAGCTAAGTGGGCTGGTATGTTCCTGAATGCACCTCTCCCCAGCTGAGGCAGGAGTCCCTGCATGTGGCTTCTTCTGGCTGTAGCAAGACTATAAAGCCCCGTTAAGTGACTGTTAACTAAGTTCTCTCATGCTTTTCTTCAAGTTAATGGACCTTCATCACCTAAGCCAGCCAGGGGGAGACAAGACTGACCTGGTCTGTTATCTCTACAAAGAGCCCCCTCTGGAGTGTGGAACCACAGGGGTTCTGTGGCTATTTGGGGCAGGGCCACCACTATGCAGTTGACGTGAAGATCCAGCACCACAGCAGAGTGACTCCCACAGTCAGGGACTGAGAAAGGCCAGGTCAATACAGGAAGCACAGTTCAGATCCTGGATCCTGTTTTTTTTCAGCAAGTGATGGTAATGACACCCTGAGTTTATAGGGAGCTTCAGATTCACAAAGTGCTCCATGCACACTGCTGCCAATGAGCTTGGTTTCCTCCCCTGGCAATGACTGTTTTGAAGGTTAATACTGCCAAGGCTTTTACTGTCTGGAGGCATGAACCCCACATCTGGATCCTGGAGCTCCACTGAAATGGAAGCTCTTTGGAATTCAGCAGCCAAAGGCTTCCAAGTTCCTTTTTAAAACTAAAATGTGCTCCTCAGATTTAGTAAGACAACACACTAAAGGTGGAGCTTGCCTTACATAGGCCTCTCACTGTTCTCCTTCCAAATCTGACTCCAACATTTGATAAGACACTCCTTCATCAGAGAAGAAACCTGTGAAATGCTTCCCTACAGTAGATTTTTGAAAGAGCAGGTTCAGTTAGACCAGTGGTTCTCATCAGGGGCGATTTTACTCCTGGGAGACACTTGGAAAGGTCTGGTGACATTTTTTTTTTTTTATCCTCACCCGAGGACATTTTTCCATTTTTTGTTCAGATAGAGCGGGAGGGAGAGAGAGGAAGAGAGAGAGAAACATCGATGTGAAGGGACACATCGAGTGGCTGCCACCCGCACAACCAACCAGGGCCGGGGACAAACTGCAACCAAGGTACGTGCCCTTAGCGGGAACCGAACCCGGGTCTCTCTGTACCGCAGGCCGACGCTCCAACCGCTGAGCCAAACCGGCCAGGGCCTGGTGACATTTTTGATTGTCTCCCCTGGGTGAGGGCGTATGGGTAGAGTCAGGGACACCACTATACACTCCTCAATGCTCTGTACAACCCCCCAACCACAGCAAAACCTTATCTTAAATGGCAACAGGACCGAGGTGGAGAAAAACAATAATGACCTTATTAAAGTAAGACTCAAATAAGTTTTCTGATTGCAGATAGAGGCAGCAAGCGAAGAGACCAAAGCCACAAGCCAGAGCTAAGCCAATGACCCTGCTGGTGATTATAAAAATGGCCATTCACATCCACCCACCAAATGCTTCATTTTGTGGGTGGCACCAAGGGTGATCAGAGTGACCACATGCCCAAGTATAAGCGCAGCCTCCCTAGTGCGCTCACAGGAAAGGCCCCAGGCCAAGATCTCCGCCACCAAGGATGCAGTTATTTTGACCGGACATAAAACTATGTTAGCAGAATGCCTCCCTGACATGCACTCTTGATTTAAATCCTCCAAACGGATTGATTTGGGAAGCAGAGTAGAGGCTGCCTGTATAGGTGTTTTGATCTATTTTGATTTGGGTTAGGAGCTAATTAGCACATCTAGAAAAAGATTGGATCGTCACTGGCTTTCCAGTAATGCAATAGCTGAGACACATTGTCCGACCTAAGTGCCTGAAAACCAGTGCAAGCTGTGCTAAGGCCAAGATCACTAAAACCACTGTAGCAGCATACCTGGCTGGACAGAGGTGACTGTATGTTTAACTTGCCATTCTTGGGAATGTCGATTCTGTACCCAAGGGGAAGGAAAGCGTTGAATCCAACAATGAGGTCAGGGTGTTCATGGAAGAGCTGTGAGACTCGTCGGATGACTCCAGGAGTATCGATGCTGGAATAAAAAGCATGAGTGGGCAAAAGCGTCTCGGGGAACAAATTAAAGTGAAATATATTCCAGACTCCCACGACAGTACCATGTAACCAGTTTCTCACTGACAACAAAGCACCCTAAGATGTGACTGGGGTGATTCTGCCGATGGTGCTCTACTTTCAGAGCAGCCAGGCCTGAGCTCCCTGTGCCCCTGGAGAACCACACAATAGTCACATGGCACAGCTCCCCAAAACACTCCAAGCATGTGTACTCAGTGCTGAAAATGTCAGAAGAGCAACTGCAAGACATGGCAGGAGGCCAAAGCCCTCTAAATGATGAGATGAGATAGATTCCCTAATTTTATATGAATTAGGGATCTACTATGATACAGGAGTTGATCCCAATAACTGATTATAACACAAAATACCAAAGGCCCTACAAGTATACACTGCTTAAGAATTCAAGGGGAGGGAGGGGATCTGCCTCATGGCTGTAATCAGAATTGTGCTTGTGGAAGGAAACCAGGCCGTGCCATATTTCCTCAGAGGCAGAAGCAGCATGGTAAGGATGTGATAGTCAAGAATCTAAGACTCAGAGGACCAAAGTTCTAGTCCTGACTCTGTCCCCTAAGCCTCAGTGAGCCTCCTGTCACACAAGGGCATGATTGTGAGGTCCCCTATGGATCTCTAACCCTTCTGATTCTGTGCCTACAAAAACAGCTAATGTGTTTTAAATGCCAGGCCCCTTACTAAGCATTTTATGTGCATAACTTCCTAGCAGGCCTGGGACTAGGGTTAGGCCAGTGAGGCACTCACCTTGGAGACAAGATTTAAGGCGAAGAGGGCGCCAAAACATTCAACAATCAAGTAACATTTTAGTGCAGTGCTTAAAAAATTAATTTTATTAAGTCCTGGATGAACAAAATTCGCCTCTCACCTCATCCCCATACCTGTCCTCCTTCCAGGAATCACCAAAACAGTTCTACAAGGGACTCCCGTTTCTTTAGAGGAAGGAACTGAGGCTTCCAGATATTGGAAGACCTGTGCAAGGTCACCAGCTGGGGGACTTCCACCTCGCTCTGCCCGAAGGCGGCCCCCCGGGGTGGGGAGAGGCCCCACGGTACCTCTGGCTTTTGAACTCCTTCATAATCTCCAGGAAGCCGTTGTAAGTGGCAGGGTCGCTGCCGAAGCGGATTTTCACCTGGTCCAGGTAGGTGAGGGCGTCTTCCACCTGCGGGAAAGGGGAGGAAAAGGGGGAGGATCCCGATGGGCCGGGGTCAGCGGAGGGAACTAGGGGCGGGGGTCTTGGGAGGGGAGGGGGACGGGCCGGCCTCCGAGGGGCCCGAGATGAGAGGTCAGGAATCTGGGGTCCCGGGACGTGCGAAGGAGAGTCCGAGGTGGGGCCGGGCGGGGCCCAGGTTGGGGGCGCAGGCCTGTGGGGGCCGTACGACAGGGTCCCCGAGGGAGGGCTGGGGCGCCACTCACGTGCACCGGCAGCTTCTCGTGGCCCGCGGAGCCCGAGCGACCCCAGCGGGCGCCACTCAGCCCCCGGCCCCCCGGGCCGCCGCCGCCGCCAGCGTGCGCCATGTTGGAAGTCGGAGCTGCGGTCCACCGCGCCCCCGCCCGCTGGCTGGACGCGCATGCGCCGGCTCCGCCCTGGGGGCGCGGCCTGATGACGTCAGGGGGCGGCCTCCTTGAGGGCCTTGCTGTATAAGTTCTTACCCCTGAAACTGTGGTACTAAGTAACACCTTTTATAGCCCCTGTGGGTAAACCAAGCCCTGCCTCCTGCTTTTGCCTGACTTTACAAGCAAGTTCAGAATGGTTTTTACATTTTGTAAAAGTTGGAAAAAGTCCAAAAGAGAAGACTATTTCGTGACACATGAAAATTCTGAAATTCATATTTCAATATCTGTAAAGTTTTATTGGAAACACATGCACGCCCACCCCTTACCTATCACCTCTGGCTGCTTTTGCACTACAGCAGAAGGGTGAGTAGGTGAGACAGATCCTGAAGTCTGCAGAGCCTGATATATTTACTGAAAAAATGTTGGTGGACCCCTGCTTTCTAGGGTTGATGGGACAATGTGACACAGCAGCCTAACTAAGGGCCTTGGCTAAATGGCTTTTGCCATAGTCCCTCTCCTCCTACTTTCATTTCCCTAGTTCTGACTACATCACTTCCCCACTGGACCAGTTCAGGAGCCACTTAACCAGTTTTTCCAGCCCTGGTGCTATCAAGAACTGGGATCATTCCACAGCTGCTTCCAAACTTTCAGTCTTCTTATTTTTTGTGAGTTGAATTCTAAGCATCTACACTCCACATTGAAGGCCATCAAAACCTGGCCCTTATAAACCTTTTCTTGAAGAATTTTCCACCCACCCTCTATCTGTGCAGAACTTCCTGCCAATGCCTGCCCAGCCTGGCTGCTTCCTAACCCTAACCCTTTCCCTTGACAGAAGCTCTGTTCTATCTCTTCATTACCCAGGAAATACCTATACATCCTTCAGAGCACAACCGAACTGATCTTCCTCTGTCCTCCCACAGTCCCTTGTACATCATCTTTTCGTGCTTCATCACAAATTCCTGACACAGAGCCCCATCAGTGAATATTTATCAAATGAATGAACATACAATCAATGACCAAATGACATCTCTTTCTGTAGGTGAGGCAGTGTGGGAAAGCTGAAAATACACTGGCAGTAGGTGCCTCATTTACTAGGCACTGTGCTAGGTGTCAGGAATACAATAGTGAACAAAACTGACAAGGTTTTTGCCCTCCTAGAGCTTTTAGTCTTTCAAGAAGGATAGGAATCAAATAATAACACACACACATACACACACACACACAAATGTGAAGTTTCAACTATAACAGATACTTCAAAGAGAAGATACAAATATAACAGTTACTATATTCCAGTTACTGTGGCTGTGTAACAAACCACCCCAAGAGTTAGAGATTCAGAATGACATTAATTTTGTTCTTTAATATGCAATTTGGGCAGGCTTGGCAGAAATAACTCGTCTATGGACCCTTCGTGTCAGGTAGGTAGCTGGAATGCTGGGTTTGGAATCCTTTGAAGATTTACCCACTCACTTGTTTGTCAGTTGCTGCTGGCTATAAGATGAGACCCATGCTGGGGCTGCCACCAGGAGCACCTACATGTGGTCTCTTCATGCATCTGGAGCTCCCTCACATGGCACCTGGGTTCCAGGCACAACTGTTCTGAGAGGAGCAACTGAGCCAGGTGGAAGCCATATATCGCCTTCTCTGATCCAGCATGTCAAGTTACATGGAATCAATTCCATTGCAGTCTTTCCACTGTGGCTATGACAAAGTCCCTCCCAAATTCAAGAGGACAACAAATAGACTCTAGAAGCTGGGGAGTGGCCAGGGTCTGGAATAGCATGGGGCTACAGGAAACATTGCCATGACCATTTAGGGAAAATATCCCCTGCCACAGCAGGGACTTAACCCAGTCTAATGGGGATAAAGAAGGTTTCCTAGAGGAAGTGTCATGCTAGCTGAGTTCTAAAGGATATGTAGGCGTTCGTTCACCATGAAGGTCAGAGGGAACAGCGGGAAGTGTGACAAATTTGAACTAAAAAAAGAATAAGACCAGTGTTTTTGGACTGCAGGATAAGTGTGGAGAGGCCAGTGGGGGCAGACCACTCATCTCGTGGGATGATTTAAGAATTTTGGTCTTGGCATTTCACACTGGCAGAAATTGCACCTGGGTTTTAAGCAAGGAGGTGCTTGAGCAGCTTTGAATTTGGAAGCAGTCAACTCTGGCTGCTCTGCAGGGAAAGGATTGGAGGGGACCCACGGGTGAGTGCAGGGAGGCTGTTTCATCCTTTAGGCAAAGGGCAATGGTAGCTTAGACCAGGATGGGAGCAGTGAAGGTAGAGAGGAAGGGGTGGAAGGGAGCAATATTTAGAAGGTAAAACAGAGAGGATATGGCTGGGTGGAAGTTGAGGTGAGGGCGAAGGAAGCAGTGAGGATTCATGGCTCCTAGCCCAGAAAGGAATTCTGCTTGGTTTCAGCACATTCCTGTAGGAACAGCAGCAAGGCAGACCGAGGCCACGGATGTCTGGACAGTCTTCACACCAGTGCTGCCTGGCAATCTATTAGTCACTTTCCTGGAGAACCAACAGTGTGTGTAGGCTTCTGTCACTTGGACAGAGTCCTCACTCAATACCGCCTGCCTCCAAGGAGTGCAGTTCTATTCAAATTTTAAGGATCAGTTTTAGTTTTACATTCTTTTCATAGATCTCATGGTCAGAGGAAGCCCTTACTCATTTGGAGAAAAAGCAATCGTAACTGTGTGTGTGTGTGTGTGTGTGTGTGTGTGTGTGTGTGTGTTAGTGCATACATGCATTCTTCAGAATTCAGCCAGAATGCCACCTCCTCCAAAAAACTTTTCTCAACCCCTGCTAGACTAGGTTAAGTGCCCTGGGTGGCAGGAGGTATTTTCACACAATAGTCACAGTAGTATTTCCTGTTCCCCATGCTATTCCAGACCCTGTATATGTATGTTTATGTTCATGTATCAACATGTGGACAATGGTACACATGTATCTTGTCATTCTTATTTTTATAAAGCATAAACAGTTTCTAAGCTAAATATTTTTCTTTACTATTTTCATCTACACAGATTAAGTTGAAAACCTTAGAGTTGACAGTTTAGATAGACCAGGTTTGGAACACAAATTTCCTTACCATTTGTCAAATTTAGCATTAAGATAAGATTCTTAAGTAGGTCTTTTGTTGGACAGTATTTTGGCAAGGTTAAGAAGGTAAGATCAGCCCTGGCCATTTTAGCTCAGCGGTTAGAGTGTTGGCCTGCGGTCCAGAGAAACCTGGGTTTGGTTCCCGCTAAGGTCATTTACCTTGGTTGCAGTTTGTCCCCCGCCCTGGTTGGGTCGTGCAGGAGGCAGCCACTCGATGTGTCCCTTTCACGTTGATGTTTCTCTCTCTCTCTCTCTCTCTCTCTCTCTCTCTCTTTCTCTCTCTCCCTCCCGCTCTATCTGAACAAAAAATGGAAAAATGTCCTCGGGTGAGGATAAAAAATAAAAAAGAAGAAGACAAGATCAAAAGATCTTGTTTTAATCTAAGTCTTCCCAGGTGGCAGACTTTATGACCAAAATCTTTAAAGTCCAGAATCATGTGTTGTGGCAGAATTCCAAGATGAACACCAAGATCCTTATCCCTGGTGTGTGCACCCTGGTCCCCTGTCTAATCCCCATCCTGGAATGTGGTTGGGACCTGGGAGTATAATGCATGTAAGGCCTGAGATTAGGTTATGCCACGTGGCAAAGGTGAAAGGATTTTGTAGGTGTATTTATTGTCTCAAATGAATTGATGTTGAGTTCATCAAAAGGGAGATCATACTGGGTGGGCCTGACTTTATCAGGGGCACCCTTTAAAGGACAGTCTGGAGATCAGTCTTAAAGCAGTAAACAGATGAGATCCTGCTGGCCTTGAAGGAGAAACCAGCCTTGTTATGAACTGCTTGGGGAAAGGGGCAGCCAGCATCTAGGAGCTGAGGTCCCCAGTCCTACAGCTACAAGGAGTTCAATGCTGCCAACAACCGGAATGAGTGTGGAAGAGGGCTCTGGGCTTCTCAATGAGCTCCCAGCTGGCTGCCACCTTGTGAAACCCTACACAGAGAATCCAGCCACAGTGCGCCCAGATTCCTGACCCATAGAAACCGGGAGAAAATAAATGGCTGTTATTTTCAGCTGCCAAATTTGTGGTAATTTGTTATGCAGCAATAGGTAACAAATTCTTCTGTAAAGTAGCCTTGTCAAAAATGTTTACCCTGCCCTGGCCTGTTTGGCTCAGCAGATAGAGCATCAGCCTGCGGTCCGGAGAGACCCGGGTTCGGTTCCCGCTAAGGGCACGTACTTCGGTTGCAGTTTGTCCCCGGCCCTGGTTGGTTGTGCGGGTGGCAGCCACTCGATGTGTCCCTTTCGCATCGATGTTTCTCTCTCTCTCTCTCTCTTCCTCTCTCTCCCTCCCACTCTATCTGTACAAAAAGTGGAGAAATGTCCTTGGGGAGGATTTAAAAAAAAAAAAAATGTTTACCCTGTGATAATGATGTGTCAATGTAGGTTCATCAATTGTCACAAATGTATCACTTTGGTGAGAGATGTTGATAATGGGGGAAAATTATGCATGTATGGGGGCAGGAACACATGGGAAATCTCTATACCTTACAGTCAATTTTGCTGTGAACCTAAAACTACTCTAAAAGAAAAAGTCTATTTTAAAAATGTTTACCCTGAATCTAATCAAGCCTAAGACCAGGCTTGGCACACACTTTCCCGTAAAGGTCCAGGTGGCAGATATTTTTGGCTTTGGGGTCATATGTTTTCTGTCACCATAGCATAAAAGTTGCCACAGGCAATATGTAAATAATGGACATAGCCATGTTCCAATAAAACCTTATTTACAAAAACAGGCAGCAGGCTCACAGGCTATGGTTTTGCTGACTCCAGCTCTAGAATATAAGAGACTAAAGAGACAAAACAATTAAATACAATGCATGAACTAATCTCGATTGGGTCCCAGTTGGAAAGGAACAGCTATG